TATTATAAATTTATAAAAGCTTTAACAGTTTATGTTTAAATTAAAAGAAACTAAGTAAATGATGTGTTAATCTGTTCAATTCGGCATTTATAGTTGTAACTAAAAGTAGTAGTAGACTGTGCAGAGTATTATTGTAATATTATAAATACAATGATACTCTGTGCAGTTTAGTTCAGAATTCCTACTCAGCATAATTTACAATAAAAGTTATATGTATAAAGTTTAAATTATTAAAAAAATTGTAATTTATATTATTTTTAATTGATACATTTTCATAAAATTTATGAATTCATAATTTTTTTAATAAAAAATTAAGATTTTTATATTAATAGCATTTTAGAATGATTAAGATATACTTAGCTTTACTGTTAAGTATATTTTAACCTTTTTGAATTATACTCTCTTTTTCTAACTTACCAACAATTCTGTACAATAATGATCTTAAGACTTCAATTTCAGTCTGCAATTCGGCTAAACGATAATGAATGACTTGATTATCAATTATTTTCTTTCCAAACGCTTTTCTGTTTTGGCAGTACTCTACTGTATCCGAAACCATGCGAGACATTTGGGCACATGCTGAAATATAAAAAATAAATTTCATGAAAATTATTATCTTTTTATGTATTATGCTTGCTAATTTTGCATTAATTTTATTTTTCACAGAAATAATACACTCCACCATATGAATTAAAACAATTTTAATCAAATTATTTTTATTATAGTTTTCATTATTTATTTTATAAATGTTAAGAAAATTGTTGATAAGTTTTTCATTTCTTAAGCTAAAGTTGCTATCTGAAAGGAAAGCATTTAAATAAAATATTCATGAAATTCAAATAATTAGAAATAAAATCCAAGATGCTTAATGCATTAAAAACTACATAAAATATATGTTTTCATAACATAAATAGACAGAAACAACAAAATACATTAACATTGCACTAAAATTCAGCATAGCTGCAGTTTTATTTTATATAATGAAACTGCAGCTAGTTACTAGCAGTTGCTATTTACTTTAGTGCATACTTGTGTATTTTTAAAATCATCAAATTATAAATATTGCCAGCAAACAATTACAGTATAAACTATGGACATTTTGCAATCCACTGAAAGTTAATACTTTATTAGAATACAGAATGGATTTAAATTATAAAAACGTGTTTGAAGTTCAGGAAAATGCATATTATAATAAATAATTAAAGACATGGATGCAGAATCAGGATTTTGTTCTGGCACTAAAATTCAATGATGGCAAGTGAAACAACAATTTCAATGCAAATACCATCAAAAACACTAATGAGCTTAAAATTACCATATTTTATATTCTTTTGATAATGTATAGACTTCTTTATCTGCATACTTTGAACAAATAAAAGTAAGCAGTGATATTTTTTTTTTCTTATATAATATGTCAGAAACAAATAATGAAGATTTAGGGGGGGGGAAATCAGTACTTTATAATTATGCACCTAACCCTGAAAAGAATACAGCAGGCAGTGAGGCAACTCATAACATTGCGAAAAGATCTTTATTTGTAACCCATATATGTGCACATGTGCAACTTGTCGATTTTGTGTCGAAATACAGAGCAATACATATTTTAAGTCAAGCTCTTGAGACATGAAAAATGCAATTTCAAATTTGTCAATCGGCCACAATATACAGAACTGTTGTTTTTTGACTCAATTGATCTGTATACTTGGTACACAAATTCCCAGAGGAAAAAAATTCTATTGATCCACAATTTCCATTGCTATGGAAGGTCAACCAAAATATCTTTTTCTTTTATTACAAATGCAACCTGTCTTGTTAACATGTTATACACCACATCTCTTCCTAGGGAATGGCTTTAGATATGAAAAATAGGCCTAGCATTTAATGTGTAAATGTTTTATAATACATCAAAATGGCTTTGTGAGTAGACCGATTGTTGTTATTGCTTGTATAGTACATACTAAGAACTCTGCTTATTTCTGCAAAAAAACATGACAAAAAGTAACATGCACCAGCTTTGTTGCTGTGAAATGCCATTTTCGATATCACTGCCCTCTAGCAGTAGGAATAATGTTTAGCAGTTTCCAAAAAGAAAGGAAAGAAACATATGTTGAGTTAAATTAACCATGGATATAACATTTATCAATTTATTCAAGTAACTTTTAATTTTACATCTTGAAATCAGGGACTATTTTTGTGCTCAAGCCATATACAGTCAAAAGTCTTTAATCCGGACTCGTCGGGACTTCGGCGATTCCGGATTATCGATTTTTCCGGATTATAGATCATCAGTTTAAATCTGGTAAGATGGCATGCAGAAATTATAAAATTAAAAATATGAAACCGTAATTTATAAAATAATGAGCAATTATGATCTAAAGGGTATCAAAATTTACAAAAAAAGAAGCTTAATATTTATTTACTTTATTAAACATTTCTTTCAACGCGCGCATAGCCGAAATTAGAAAATTGCAACCAGAAAACTATTTGATTTGTATTCGTGGTATTTATAATGACGAGGAATTTGATTTAAATCATATCAAAGACGGAGTACATCGAGATTAAATACTACATTTAGTAAGGAATTATAAACCGAATAAAATAAAAACATCTGCCCTGAAGATAATGATAGTGCTGACAGATCAACTTCCAGTTCATTGCGTGCCGCGACGCCCCCCCCCCGCAGAGCAGCGTGAAATTAATAAACAGATTTCGGAATGGTTAGATAAACAAAGGATATGCCTTTATCCATTTTTTGTAGCAATTCGTTTTTTGTTTGATGGACATCGAAACATACTTTCGTTTTCTAGATCCTTTGGGAGCTCCCACATCGGAAATTCTATTTGACATAATCGAAAGTTCAAGCTTACTTTTATAAAATTGCTCTTACAGTCTGCAAAAAATAATAAGCCAGATCCAATTTGAAGATTAAGGAACAACGTGATGCTAAAGCAAAGTTTAAAGAAATTAAACACTTAGCAGTAGTAGCAATGAAAGCTCCCTGAGATATGTTGAGCAGACATTGAAGACAATAAAAGATTTTGAACTTAACAAATTTATTAACAATATAATAAAAATAAAAACACATAAAATAAATGTCAACAATATTAGAGTATTAGGAAAAACACAACATAATCATCATTCATCAAATATTTTTTAGCAGAACAACTGGTCTTTAGTTGCCAATCTCATAATATATGTGTAATGAAAAATGGCTAAATTTTATGAAGATAGCCTTGAAACTGGTGGCTCTCCTGAAGGCTATCGGATATCGCAAACCAAAGGTGAAATTTTCCAATTAGCTGGTTTTGTAAAGAAATCTGGAGAAGCGGTAATAAATGAAGAGGATATAAAAGAAGTTTTTCACTGTGATGACAGTGCTCCTCAATCCTCAATCAATTACCAGTTGGTGAAATCTGTAGTATGATTGTACATCCATAAAATACTGCTACAGACAGAGTAATGAGAAAAAATTTTGATTGATAAGTTAGTCGGAATTCTAGACACGACAATTACAGGACTTCAACAGTGGTACTTTGTAACTGAATAAGAAATTATGTCTGTTTATAGAATTGAAAGAGAAAGTATTAACACAAAAAAACGAAGCAACTTAAACAACTTGAAAGAAATGTTTAATAGCGTAAAAAAATAAATATTAAGCTTCTTTTTATATAAATTTTGATACCCTTTAGATCATGAATTCTTCATTATTTTATAAATCACGATTTCATGTTTTTAATATTATCTTCATGCCATCTTACTAGATTTAAACTGATGATCTAATATCCAGAAAAATTCCAAATCCCGAATTGCGTAAGTCCGAGTCTGGATCTGTGACTTTGTACTGCAGAAATATATGAAACCTCAAGCTATTTTATAGCAAGGTTGTTCCTTATGTAAAGCATATGTATAAAGATATCATAATGTCAGTTTTTCTTAAATCAAACTGCTGGCCTGTCACATTGAGATCATTGCCGACCAGACATTGTAGTGGTTAGGGGAGCGGCTGCAGTACCAAAGTTCCAAGGTTCGAATCCCGGAAAAGGCATGGTTGTAATTGTCCGTCCTTTCATATGAGGCAACAGTGGCTGCCTATTAGGTGCAAGAGTGAAGAAGTTATAAACTCTATAAAAGAGTTTTTTCTAGCAGTTATGTAATCCATATGAAGATTGAATGGAAGAGATACCCTACTTAGAATAACAGATTCTTTAAGGTATTGGGTCTCAGTTATTGTATTGGGTCTCAGTTATTAAGATGCAGGCAGATTACATACTAGAAGGCTATGTAGAAAAATTGCATAAAAATCAAACAGATCTAAGAGAAAAAATTCAGACTGCATCATTTTTTAAATGACCTTCATATCTGCCTTTCATGCTGCATCTGTGGCCATTTCTAAAAATAACATTACTTTGGTTGTAATTTGCAGAAAGTTAATTAATTACACATATAATGTACATTTTAAAAAGTTGAATTATTTATTGTTGAAGAAGTGTATCAAAATGCTGTTTTACTTCAAAAGTAAAACTGTTGTTTGTTGCAAGAGAATTGCACTAAATGGCCTAATGCAAGTTGTTAGCCACACTAGTGGGCCAGAGAGCTGCATTTTGGTGATGCCTGATACATGTAATGACATCGTAGCTTTGGAATGTTATACACAATAATGGAAACATGTCTCATTATGCTTCTAATATCATAAATAGGACTGTCCCTGGCCTTTAAAATAGCTTGAATCAGCCTTTGACACCCAAGCGGGAAAGTGATTAGTGACACTGACTGCTGTACTGAAGGGCCTGGATTGGAATTCCAGAGCTGGTGTGTCCTTTCATAGGAGGCAGTGGTGGCCCATATGTTAGGTGCTTCCATATTAAAGTGACCACCATTTCCAGTCTTAGTAGTGACCAATGCCTATAGTGGCTAGTGCCCGTCATTGGAAATAATAATAATAAAAAAATAAAATAAAAATGCCTTTAAATGAGCATATTGGTTTTATAATAATGGTTCTATTATAAATATTTTTGTTTATGGGCTCTGGTTTTATTAGAAACTGAGTTCTGCAAATGCCTATATAATCCCGGTAATCTTCCTTTGTAAGATAACACATAAAGTCCTCTTTGTCTATCTTTGTCAGTGAGTTTCTTTTTTTGTGTGTATATGCATATCATTTAATGTAGAATCTTTTAATAGAATCCACGTTTTCCTGGCAATTTATCGGTAACTGATGAAGAATTAGATGACATAGGGGAAAGAGATGTTAATGTATTGTAAGTAAAAATGTTCATGTTCTGCGCTGTTGTAGTAAATCAGCTTTACTTGTCATAATATATTTTTTATATTTCTTATTTGAAGATATAGTGATAATTAATTTTTCATTTCAGCTTTCAACTGAGTTGTGAATTTTTTGACTACATGGATGAAATTTTGATGCTTCAATTCATCAGGTAGGTTTAAAAAAAATATAATTTGTTTTGAGGCTTTTAATTTTAATTTAATTTTAATTAATTAATAATTTAAGTTCATTTAGATTTTAGATCTAATTTCAAGAGAAATTTTTCTTTTTAAGTTTTTGGTTCATTGGATATGTCAAGATCAAATTCCATGACAAATTGTGGCCAGTGTCGACTTGCACCTTTAATTCCTTGTATTCAAGATTCAAGTCAGTTGTATGATTATACAGTTAAAGTGCTTTTTAAACTTCATTCAGGTAAGTTATGTCTATGCTGATGTGAATTTTAAAAAATAAATTCTATTTGTGGGCTGTTTACTATTTTTATTACATTTTAAAATACATGTCACAAAATATATGCTGTAAAACAGGCTTAAGTTTTGGGTCTTTCTCTTTCAAAATTTTAAAATATTCATTGAGAATATTTATAGAAATTTTTGAATATGATAGATATGCATTTTATGTATTTGCACATTGCTGTTTCTGAAGAGGATTTTAAATAGTTACAATTTTTAAATAAGTAATTATACAAGGTCTCCACAAAGTGTTGGAAAGTCAGGAAAGTGAAAACATTGAGAGAAAGTTGGGGAAAATGTGAACCTTGAAGAAGGGGAAAAAATTAGAAGAAATAATTTTTCCCCAAAATTTGGGGTGGGGAAAAGGTTCAGTTAAATTTTTTGTAATAATAAAAAGTTCATGTTTGAAATAGTTACCAATAAGCAAAAATTCATTTTTTAAAAAGAAAGTAAATGAAGAGTTACAGTAATCTATATTTTTCATGCTGCAAAAAAGAAAATGTATTTTAACTACCTCCTTGTTTCTCAATTGTATGCCAAATTGTTTCTGTGAGGTTTTTTTCATGGTTTCTAGGAAAGGAACTTGCCAATCCCTTATCATTGACATTTGCATTTAAAGCATAAATTCTGTCACATGTTTATGCTCTTAAAAAAATACTGATTCTTTAGAGAGAAATTTAAATGTTAACATTAAACTTAATAATGCAGTATATTCAAGAAAATATTATTCATTTAAATATTATTAGAGCTAAAAATGAGTTTTTAAAAATTGTGTGTAATGAACAAAATTTTGCTGTATCAATGTATTTATGTAATTTAATGCAATGTTTTAGCTTTGCCACCTGACACATTAACTGGACACAGAGAGCGTTTCCTGAAACAGTTCAAATCGTATGCTTTTTATTTTTCTTTTAAAGTTTATTATTTACATTTTAAATAGTTTATATCTTTCTTCTCACTTTTCTTTTTCGTATAATTATGTAAAATTTTATATTACAGTTTACAACAGTTTTATGTGAGTGCGAGTAATCTTCAATATTTTAAGCATCTGATTCATGTACCATTACTTCCTGAGGTATGATTTATGTCAACATATTTTATGTAATACTTCTTGCAATTTTATTTGTTATAAACAATCACAGCAAGCTCAAAACTGCAAGTCAGCCTTTTGGGGGGGGTTGGGGGGGGTTGCCGAGATGCAAATCTGTAAATGTATTTAGCTACAGTATGCTTTAAAAAGTGTGAATTTTGATTATATAATTTAAATAGTTTGATAAATCAAGTAATTTCACTCGTATAATAGGTAAAAAGTACATTTAAAAAGCACATTTTATGCATTTCCATGCTTCATATTAGAAATGTTTAGCCTTTTATGTTATATATTTTGAAATAACACCATTTCTTAAATTTTCTGTCATCTTATTGTTTATGCATTTGTAATTTCAGATTCATGATATTTAACATTTGATTTCACTGAATATAATGGTTAAATGTGAAAATGCAGTTTGGGATCTGAAATTATCAAACACTGTATTTACTTGTGCAGTTTTCTCCCTTTTTTTCTATTAATTTTATTATATGGAAATCAGGAGGGGAAAGTTGTATGAATAATTTAATTTTCGAAAGATGCAGTTATGGTACGAAAACAACAAATGAAAAGTATCCATGGATTAATTACTGGTAACTATTACAATGTTATTTGTTTGAAAGAAACTTACATTATAATAAGAATATGCAGTAATATTACAATATCTAATAAGAGAGCTTCATTTTTATTTCCCTGAATCGTGAATCTTGCATCATTCTTACTGTTGTCTGCTGCTACTCTCTAAGCTCTAAGTCAACTAGTGTTTAATCGCTACTATTGCTATACCTTTTCTAGTCATCGACATTGTCTTTGTCACTATTCAGTTTGTTTTCTCACATGCAATGATATTCAGAACTAATATAAGCATTAGATCTCTCTCTCTTTTTTTTGGTGTGTGTGTGCTGGGGGGGGGGAGAAAGCTCTTCACTATTTTTGTTCCATCATTCAAAACCCATTAATCCAAAATCTATGAGCAAATCATTTAGTAAGACGAAAACAGTCACTGTGTAGTTGAATTCATTTTTAAGTGTAGAGGAACTCATTTTCTGAACACCTTGAGGAAGTGGAAAATACGAGGGCTATCCAGAAAGTAGATTACGTTTTGGAATAAAAAAATAAACAAAGTATAGGAAACAAATTTTATTATATACAGATGAAAGCCACACTCAAATACTACTTTTCTACATAGTCACCATACAAATTAAGGCATTTATCGTAGCGATGTACGAGCTTGGAAATTCCTTCGTCGAAAAATTCGGCCGCCTGCGCCTTCAACCACTTCGTTACCTCTTCTTGCAGCTGTGCGTCGTCATCAAAACGCTGCATAGCCAGCCACTTCTTCATTGCTGGGAATAGGTGGAAGTCGCTCGGTGCCAGGTCGGGACTGTGCGGCGGATGAGGAAACAACTCCCACTTAAAAGATTCAAGAACTTTACGAGTGACATTTGCCGTGTGGGGCCGGGCGTTGTCGTGAATCAACAAGATCTTAGAGCTCAACATTCCTCTGCGCTTGTTTTGAATTGCTCTTCTGAGTTTTTGGAGAGTTTGGCAATACCTTTGAGAGTTTATTGTAGTGCCTCTTTCCAGGAAGTCCACCAAAATTACACCTTTTCTGTCCCAAAAAACAGTCGCCATCATCTTCCTTGCCGACATTGTTTGCATGCATTTCTTGGGTTTTTGGGGAGAACTTGTGTGCCCCCACTGCATTGATTGCAATTTCGTTTCACAGTTCACATGTTTCACCCATGTTTCGTCACCAGTAACGATGCGATCGAGTAAAGAGTCACCATCCTTATGGTAAGCGTCCAAAAAGTTCAACGCTGCAGCCATTCGCTAATTTTTGTGGTCCTCTGTCAAGATTTTTGGAATCCATCTTGCACAAAACTTGTGGTAACCAAGCTTTTTGCTGATGATTTTGTGCAACAAACTTCGCGAAATTTGTGGAAAACTCAAAGAAAGTTCCGTTATTGTGAAATTTCGATTTTCACGGACTTTAGCATCGACTTTTTCGAGAAGTTCGGCGGTCCACTATGCTGGGTCTCCCACTTCGATCTTCGTCGTGAACATTGGTTCGGCCATTTTGAAATCTTATGACCCACTGACGCACTCCACCTTCAGTGATAATGTTGTCCCCATACACTTCACGAAGCTGCCGATAGATTTCTATCGGTTTACAGTTTTTTGCAGTCAGAAACCTTATTACTGAGCGCACCTCGCAGGATTTTCAATTAACGCAGACATTTCAAACCGTCACAGTATCTGAACGGAGCACAGCACGAACCTCTCACTAGCACGGCTAGATGCAGACTGAGCTGCGCAACGCTCTGACCCCAAGATGGCCGCGCTAGCCCCGCCCCTAGCGGACACAGACGGAAACGTAATCTACTTCCTGGATGGCCCTCGTAATATGAATATTAAAAGAAAATTTCAAAACCTTTTGCCCTGAGGGAGGGATGCACGAGTAAATACCTTACATCGGATACATTAAAAGCTAAAAATACTTTTAAAGTAATTTAGTATGCTGTAAGAAAAGAAAATAAGGGGAGATGGATATATTTTAAATATATTACTGTTGTTTGTTAGCAGGTATTATGTAACAGCATTTGAAGCTGATGTGTAAAAATTTTTCAAAATTTCATATGTTAATATGCATTATTAAAAATGATATTTGAAACATTTATTATGGTCAGTGAAACATAATTACATCAAATTTTGAGTAGTAGAATTATTCATTAATTTGAAGACGTCTTTATTAGTTAGACATTTTGGAGATAATTAAAAAAATCCAATTTTCCAGTATTAGGAGTAGCATGCTTTTCAATAAGAACACTTTTCAAACCAGAAAATACACTTTGCTAGGCATTGGCCATTTTTCACTCTGCAGGAAAATTAAAATATTTTAAAATGATTTTCTGACATTAATTGCTTAAGCTCACATATTAAAGTTCTTTTTGTGTTTTTATTTCAGTAAGTAGGAGTAATTTTAATTGCTAATTTATGCAAATAAAAGTTTTGTCTTCTTGTAACTATTAAATTTTCTAATACTTAACCATAGCATAAAAAGTCTTTTATTCTCAGAAAAGGGAAAATGCCTTAGGAGCATTCTTAGTAACATTTTATAAATGTCAAATATCATATTGATAATGAAGATTACAAAGGTGAAATAATTGGGAATATGTATACACAAATATGATAAATAAAGTAAAATGAATTCAGGCATTTTTGCAAAGTTATTTTGATTTAAAAAAATTCATTAAATTATTCTGTAAATAACTGATGTGCATTTTAGATGGTAACAATAATCATCGTTAATTATATACATATTTTTTTAATAACTCATTTGAATCTCCTTATAATTCATTTAATTAAATTTATAGGCTTATAAAATATTAGGTCCGGTGGCGCGGTGGCTAGTGCATCACGCAGCAGCACCACAGGTCCGGGGTTTGATTCCCGAGCTGGGCAAGGTTAACTTAGCCTTTCATCCCTTGATTTCCATCACTTGGGCAGATAAAATGAGCACCAAGTATGCTTAGGGACTAAACGCTGGGGGTCCTGTGACCAAGCTGACCACTTGTTCAGGGCATATGCTTACACACCCTGCAGCCCACGGTCAAGAAAGCAGATTTTGGGCACTGCAGGCCTTGGCCATTAGGGCTGTTACGCCACTGAGTTTAGTTTTAGTTTTTTTTTATAAAATATTAGTTTACATTTTTTTGCGTTTAAGAAAAATTAAATCAAATTTTGCAGTTTTCCTTAGTTGAAATTTAATTTAATCTCCTTAATTTAAAAGCATGTATCAGATCAATAACACTGAATATCGATTAATAACTGATGGGGGAAAGTTATTCATTATCCAGGTATATATCAGGTATTAATTTGAAATGATTATTTGATTAAGTTGCTTATTGCATTTTTGCTTGTTGCAGTTTTTTGCAATTTTATTTGTTAAATATTAATAGCATGGTCAACAAACAGTTTGTTTTCAGAAGATGAATTTTCATATCATATTTCTTATGTATAACCATATGGAAATTTTTAATTTTAAAAAATGACCTTTGAATGGTAATATGTGGTATTTTAAAGCAGAAATTTCAAGAACTGTATTACAAAAGTTTCAGTTAAGTGGAAATATTTTACATAAATATAGTACGAGATCTGGAAGTAAATTTTGTTGAAAATTAAAATATTTTTGATTTAATTAAATTTAATATGAAAGTAAATTTTTAGTTTGCTCTAGTTGCATGAAACTTTTCAGTTACTTAATGTATTAAGGTATAAATACAAATTAAATTGATAGCACTAATTTTTCAGTGGGTAGTTTTGATAAAAAATAAGATTATTATTTATAATACCTGTTGTTTTTATATTTAATTTTTGATTAAATTTTAAAACTGTATTTGCAAAATTTTTCTTTGCAGAATCCTCCAAATTTTCTGGTAGCTTCTGATTTAAGTGCACATGTGAGTCCTGTAGTAATTTTACCTCCACATACAGATACTCCAGAAAATGAAACTGTAGATATGAATCTGGTTGATACAACTGTGCCAAATCATGTGTAAGTTAAAAAAAAAAAAAAAAAAAAAAAAAAAAAAAAAAACTGAACTGTTGTGTTAAGTATCTTAAATCTAAATTTGGGTACTCTCTTGTTATCCGCCAGTCGGCAATTATTGGCAGCCAATTTTTCACCAACCTAACACGTGAAAAATGTTAGCCATTTTAAAGAGAATTGTAGTGCACTGAAAAGTAATAAAACAGCAAGAAATGAATGAAATTAAAAATCCAACAGACATCTGTAATCTCTAATTTGCAAGGAACAATAAAAATTACGTAAACATCCATAATAAAATTTCATAAAACTAACAAATTAATTAAATTAAAAATGCAACAAAAGTCTGTAATAGAACACTTTCTATTTTCTCAGTCTGCTCTGCATGTGCATAGTGATCTGCTTAAGAAAAGAATCGGAGAACTACTGAATTCTTGACATTGCAGAGCAAACTAACACTTCTGTTCATGTACACAATGGACTTGTTTTAACTTATTTAACTTAAAAAACTTGTTTTAACTTAAAAAAATATTGCACAAATTAACTCCATGGAATGCACCTTCTATTAGGTGATTTTCATTAGGCAATATGCCATATTTCTGAAAAAAATCCAGTACTTTCTTTTTCAGTAGCAGGCACACACTAGCATTAGGAATCATTACAAGAAGGGGAGGACTCCACTCATTAATCAAATTACTACCAAAACTACCAAAAATAGTGGCATTACACGCTGTCATAATACATGTGCAACCATTAGTGGGTTACCAGATTAATACATTCTTATAAAATTCTGGGTTGTCAACCTTGGCGACACAAGGCTTTTCCCAATATTCTTATGAAGGTTAGGTGGATAATACGACATTACCTAAATTTGTTTCAATTTGTGTAAAATTTAGACTGTTTATTTGTTTTGATCCATCATAAAAAGGAATAAATAATTTAATACTTTTTTTTCCTGCTGCAGTCAATATAATATTATTGTTTTTTCTTTGTATTAGTTTCTTTTTGTGCACTGTAGCTATATCCTATGAGGCTTGATAAACTTATATAAATGGTTAAATTTTTCTTGGAATAAAAAATATAGGTTCTTTAATCTTTATTTCAGAAGTTTTTACGGATGAGTAACAGAATTTCGTATTAAACTATTCCACTTTTCCTGAAAAATTTATGGAAATTTTTAAAACTTTTCTTCGAAGAATGCTCTGATATTTCTCAGCTGAAATTAAAAACTGATAAGGATTTTGCTGATTAATAAAATTTGTTTTCCTTAATTAAGGGAATTTGCTGTTGTTATTATGTACTTATGTGTTAATGCTTTCTCTGAATTTATTTATGATTTTTTGATTGAGCAACTTAATAAGAAATCTGAAATCATTAAATTGTTCATCATACTGCCTTTAACATATGATAATCATGGGAAGAACAGGAACATATTTCATATTTTTTTATTAAAGTATTGAGTGTTTCTATGGGATTAGGAGGGCAAAAGAATTAAAAAATGTGCTTTGAAAGTGAGTTGCTGTGTAATTATAACAATGACATCAATATCACGCAGTGAAGATCTTTTGCTTAACTAAAAATGTCAAACAGTGTATTTTTCTGTGTATAGATTAATGGCAGATGGGAAAAGTGTAAAAGTTTGTGCATGTCTGTTTATATTTTTTCCTAATACCACCTCAAAGTTTCCAGAACCTTCAAAAAATCATCTTGTTTGGTGTTTCTTTGTCAATTATCTCCAGATTATGAAGTCTAATATTTCCAGATCATCAAATCTGATATTTCTGGTACTGTTAGAACTATTTACATATGGAAAATGGATGATGAGCTCTAGAAGTTTGGCGCCTAGATTCTTATAGAAGAACATGCATATAAACTCCTTGTGATCCCTTGGCTGAGATACTCATATATTTCTTACTGCTGACTTGTTTTCTCCAGTTATCCTACATGGCTTTTTCGTACATCTTTATGTTTAGTTGATGATGCTTGAAGATAAAATTTTTTGGGTTGAGCAGCATATGAGCAAAATTTAAATGGCAGCCTTCGAAATGTTGAAGGAAATTTATAGTGATAACACTTTTTCATTCAGAAATCTTTAAATGGCATTGAATTTTTCCTCTTGTTCCAGAGATGTTAGACACTACAAAAAATGAGCATCAACTATATGATAGTAAGTAAATTTTCTGCTAAAGGAAGAATTAAAAAAAAAAAGAGTTATGTTTTTTTGTTATCATATTTAATATTCATAATGAGTTTGAAGTTTGGATCAGTAAGTTATGGGTGCTGTTGCTGCACATTTAAATTTTCATCAAAACAAGGACTCTTGTCCTGTCTTGTCTCTCCTTGCAAATTCTTTTCGAGTCAGATCTTCAGCCCAAGGATCAAATAAAGGACACTTTACTTTTATAGTTTAAAAGGATAATTCTGTCTTCCAAAAAATTTATTTCTTATCTCTTTAGTGTTGAAGAGTGAAAGTGCAGTTTGGTGTTAAAGAATAAAAGTGCAGTTTGAACTGAAGAATATATCAAAGAAGGAATGTAAGAAGTATGTTGAAGACCACTAGAAATGTTAAGTTTATTGTGCTAAAATGGTTTTACTTTGTGGGTAGGATTTAGTAGTGCAACTCTTTAAGACACAGTCCTTAACTTTTTTAACTATATATATATCAGATTTCACAGACTTTGAATATAACACATTAACACTCATTTAAAAACTAATATAACCTCACGTCTTCCAGAAGTATTATATTTTTCACGCAATGAACCTTCTATGAAATAGGCATATAAAGTATTTTATATCTCCATGACAAGATAATCTTTTACAGAATTTCAACTTCGTTTTAAAAAAAGGAAGTTCTTTTAATGCAAATCATGATGCCTTTCATTTTTCTAATAACTGATATCTGATGTTCCATATTTCCATAGTAGAGTGCTAATTTATGATAGTGCATATGCCTTTTCTTTTAAAACAGTAGTTCCCAACTTGTTTTTCAGTAGTAAACTCCTTAATAATTCATTTTCATAAACTGTTTCATTCTTAATAGCAAACTGTTTGTAAATAATCTTATTTGCTGTTATTTCAGATTTATGTGTTGTAAATGAATATGTAGGGAATTTTGTGTTGATTAACCAGTTATTTATAATTTCAGCCTTTACTGTAATTTCTCCATTCCGTATTCCTCACCGAAATGCAAATGAGTGGCCAGTATATAAAATTAGGTTTTTGGATTTTAAGAGCTTGTTTCTGGCATTGTGCCCACATCATGTGTTAGTTTCCTGCCAGCTTTAATAGTTGCAATTATTCGTCTTTGCTCTTTCTTGCTGCTGACATTTTAATTCTGATGCTTAGGTAGAGTAGTGAGCCAGCTTCTAGTATAGTAATTAATTGTTTAGTCTTTGATTACCGTTCAACTTTTGATTTAATTTGGACTGTTCTGTTTTATCTTTTATCACCATGAGTTGTGGAAATTGTAGTACAAGAGAGTGCATTGTGTTCTGAATTCTGTTTAAATAAAAAAGGGTATTTTTAACCTTCTCATGACTTTGTTATTATGACTTTGTTATTTTTAACCTTTTCATGACTTTGTTAGACATAGTGATAATTCACTTCACATATATTAGGGTTACTAAACTAAATAGCATTGCCAGATCAAGTGTAGCCCTGCAAATATTCCAATAGTAGAATAAAAAACAGTGGCATTATAATGTGAATAAATCATATTATGCATACTTTTGCATTAAAATCTCAAAAGTTGCAACAAATTCAAATAAATACTGGCATATTCTATTAAGAACATCATAAAACATTTTAATAATTCATTGCATTTATATATTTATTAGTATGTGAATAACTTTATAATGTTTTATATGATATAATATGTATGAAATGCACAATAAATATTTGATGTGCAAAAATATTGAGTTTGTTTAGTGATGAATGATACCTTTTTGAAATCAAATTCAGTTTATATGGGGTAGCTTTAAATCTGGAACTATATTCGGCTTACTAAATTTCTATTTAATAAAGGAATAAGAACAGAGAAAATCTTTATAAGCTTCATGCTTGCAAATGTCAACATTGATTTAAAAGCACCTTATCAGAAAGCTGTTTGTATTCTCTACTGCTGTCCATCCAAATGTTAATGAGACATTTTTCTTTTTAGTTTTTTAGTAGTATAATTAAAAAAAAATTGATCATCCTCTCTTTTCCTTTTGGTAGCTTGCTAGTATATTTCTTCAAAATGATATGCAGTCTATTTTTTTTTTTTTTTTTTTTTTTTTTTCTGTTGTTCAGATATTTAAAGGTACCTCTTGTAAGGTTGATCCTTTCTAATGTTCAGCTTTCCCCCCCTTTCATTGAGATTTTTATAAAAGTTTTATAAAGATTCAAATATTTAGAGTTAGCTATTTTCAGTGCATGGTAGCTAGCAAAATACCTGGTAAAATGCTTTTCAATTTGGGTAAAACATTGTGCAGTATTGTTTATGAGAATAATTTAATTTAGTATTGATAAAAGGCATTCAGAATAATGTAGATAAAAATATAAAATATAATCTGAAGCATTTTTATTTAAGGTGTAATTAAAAGGAAGAAGTCTTTTTGTAACGTAATGAGGTTAGCAAAAAATTAGTTTCTCACTTCACAGGGATCTAGAATGCGTTCTGTTGGTCTAAATGAGATAAAATTTGAACTACAAATAATAATTTAAATGATGTGCCTGAAATTTATTAAAACATTTTAGTACAAAAATCTGCCGATAGGTGGTGCTGTAGCACAAATTGTATTTATTTGAAATATTGAATATTGAAAATGTAAAACATCATTTACATTACAGCACATGCCTATTAGCATTATTCTTAGGATAAAAAGAAGGTGGATTCTTTACAAGCATTAGCTACTTCTCTGCACATCATGTCTACAATGCAAGAAAAAGCGCTGCTGGTAATTGTAAAATTTGCTGCTGGTAAAATTGCTCTACCAGAAACAGCAGAACTACTGTGCAGCTCTAAAAGAATTCCGTCATATGAAGGAGATTCGAAGTGGCCCAATGCCTTCATGTGGCCTATGCATGATGATAAAGAAACTTGAAACAACTGGGCAACTTGGTATTCTTCTAGGTAGAGGACAAAAGCAAATCGTCTCCTTTATTGAAACCAGCAATCGGTGGTCGCATGGTAATGTGAGTGTGCCACTTGTTTCCCATGTATTGGCTATATTGTATTCCACAGTATGAAAAATCTTATTGCGAATTTGAATTTTTATCTGTATAAAATCAAACCTGTGTACCTATTGCAAGATGGGGACTCGAAGGTAAAACTTTTGCACTTCAGTTCCTTGCTGGAACAGTGGTTGATGTCAGTTGGCTATGAAACATTCTGTGGACTGATGAAGCCCACTTTCACCTCAGTGGGCAAGTTAACACTCACAATTGTCAAATTTGGGCAGTGGTAAACCCTCACACTATCCAGGAACAACCCTTTCATCCTAAAAAGTGATAGTATGGTGTGATTTTATGACTACCTTTACCATTGAACCATATTTTTTTGAAAGATAACTGCAAATGGAATCCAAACGTGTTCCGTCAGGACAACGGTATCACGTTATGCTGAGGGATTTTCTAATCTCACAACTTCCACAGTGTGGATGCTTTCAGGACATCATTTGCATAGAGGTTAGCACACCTTCTCATATTGGTCATTGTATAAAGGAATTACTAAGACAGCATTTCAGAGATGAATGGGTGATCAGACGGCATTTTCCAACAGCATGTCCTCCTTGTTTGCTATATATCCACTCTTGCAGCTGTTGGTTTTGAGTTTCTCTGAAGGATAATATCTGCCATGAAAGGCCAGCATCTGTGCCAAATCTGAAGAACAGGATTCAGTAACATGTTCTTGACATTCTGGCAGACTGTATGCTGTCAGATGTGCAAATATGGTTCTGCGAATAGAGCACATTGTTGAATATGAAGGGGGACATATTGAGCTGTTAAAATGCTACATTTTTATATTATTTAGAATTTATAAATGCTAAATAATATAAATACGTAACATGCTAAATGATTTTATGTGTTTTACCTATAGGCAGATTTTTGTACTAAAATTTTTATTTAATCAGCACATCATTTGAATTATCTGTTGTTACAATTTCATCTCACATGGACCTATAGAATACATTCTAGAGCCAACTTATTTCTTGTTAACCTTACATTTTTTCCATAAGGGATAGAATCAGTGGCTGAATATCAGAGTGAGTTGTTACTTATTGAAAAAATTATAGTTTAAATCTTTTAGTATATATAGTAGTTTTAGTATATATAATTTATAAGATCATAATTGAATTTAAAAAATTATGTAGCCAAGTCCAGATGTTTTAGAAGGTGTTTTTGGACAGAGAAATGCTGTTGATTATCGTCAAAGGAATGGGTCCAGTTCACCTGATCAGATGTCTGACAAGTAAATTTCTTCTGATATTAAAATTTTCTTACTTTATTGCATGTACAATGTGTATGTTATAAATATGTCTTTTCTAAAAATATTTTTATTCTTATTAATTTTTTTATGCTGAATGGCTATAAATAACTTCTGTTTTAAATCTATGCTTATAATTGTTTAAAAAAAAAAAAAAAAAAAAAAAAAAAAAAAAAAAAAAAAACGTGCATAATTAATAATTTTTTTACTAAAAGTTTTTTAAAAATAATTTTTTATTTTCTTGATTATTTTAAACTTGTGCTGGTCATTTCTGAGCAAGTATTAATTCAGTATTTTGCTATGTAGAGTCAGATTTCATGTAAAGACATATACTTTCATAAATGGAGATCTTTCAGAACAGTATAAATTTTTTGTTTGGGAAAGTTGTTTGTATTGGAAAGAGGGGAGAAGTATTGTGTATAGCAAATTAAATTATTGTATTCAACTAAAATTTCCTAGTTGAATACTATTAATTCGTTTCTGAGAAAAGCAGTCAGTTTGAATTTTTAATGTTAGACAGGATTATTGAAGTGGCAAACATATAAAGTCTACATGTGTTTATCTCTGTTAAAATGCTAATTTCAAAATTTCTTTTATCCAATTACATTTCTGTGTAAATGAAGTATCAGTTTCTAAAATAAAACAATAACATTTATTAAATAATAATGAGCAGATAAAACGTTATTGAAAATGAAATATATTTAATTAATGTTTTTAGATTTTGTTTTTCTTTTTTGACAGTTGAGTGGTGAAAATGATAAGATTTCATTCATTGTATTAATAAATGAGAATAATATTCTGCAATAAGGTATTATTCTAATTTTAAAGATTTAAAAATGGGTCTTTAATAACAGTTTAGTGGCACCTAATGAATTTATATAATTTTTGAATTGCTGGAGTTAGTTAAGTGCTGTACGTTGTTCTGAGAATAGGTATTAGGGGAGGGGGGGAGAGCATTTTCTGTAGAATTCATGAAACTTTTTATGAATGAATATGTGGTCATCGTTTATTTAAATAGATTTGCAGGCTAATGTAATGACCATTCTGTGAATTTATTAATAGAAATAACAGAAATTAATGAATATTTTTTGGAGAACTGTGAAATTTTCAAAATTAATTATTAATTTCTTAATTTTAGCGCACATCATAAATGATTTGGCATGCCTGTTTAAATTTTATAAATGCTTTGCATTGAATAATTGGTAATGTGTTGGAAGATTTAAACGTTGAAAATATGTTTTGAATAAAATAGTTGCATGCTTTCCCATCCTCCATGAAATAAATACATTTATGATTATTTTGTGAGCATGTTTTTGGTGATAGTTTTGTAATTTTAAGTTATTTAATTTAACTTTTATGATTCTAATTGACACAGACTAACTTAATACTCAGGAAAATTCTTATTTCTTTATTTTAACTTTTTTATTTTGCATATTAAGTGTATTTTGTTAATTAATTCAAAATGGGGACTTTGTTGGACACACACTTTGTATAAAAAAGTACGTTTAGCACATAATTTGTTTTCTTACTTATATAATTATACAGATTGAATGTCAGTTTTCTTTAAATGCTAAAGGCTTCCATTTTGGATTTTCAATGTGATTGAAATTTTTATAAGGAATTGGAATTAGGGTCTTTTTGTATATGGGATGCTTGCAAAATACCCAGCAAAAATATAAAGACAGATAAAGTAAACCAAAACTGGCAGATTTTGTAATGGAATGTGTGTACCAAAATGGCCCATTGAGGTGGTAATTATACCACTGTCGAGTGGAAGATAAAAGTGTTCAGTTGGCATAAAGTGTCATGCCCCATGTGGATTTTGAGCAATGTGCATTGCTACGAACCTCAGCAATATGAATTTCATGCATGTGGCTGCAGCTGAAATGGAGCAGATTCCAAAAAGAGGTACAATGAACGATTCCTGTGTATTTCCTTTGAGCAGCTGCTGATTTCCTACACAACCTTACAGATAAAATGCATGTCTGTGAGCTACATGTTCAGTGAACAATGCATACTATTCAAAATCTGCATGAGGAATGATGTTCACAATAATAGAACTCTTTCCTTCTTCTGCTTAATAACCTCAATGTGCCATTTGTTCACACACATTCCAATGTAGGATCTTTTTTTGGCCCTTCTACCTGCCTTTGCATTACTGCTGAATATTTTCAGAGTACACTGGATAGAAAAGGTAAATAATGGTTGATTATTATGTTGCATCACTGTGTATCAGAGGCATTCTGACAATTGTATGATTAATTTTTTTTTAAATCTCTAGGGACCTTCTTATAGAACGTTTGCAGAAGGATATTGAGCTTTTAAGAATGGATATGCAACGAATGCGAATAGAGGTATTCTTATTGCACTGAGTGTTATAAAATATTATTTATTTATACATTAAATGCAATAAAGAGTTCAGTCATTTTTTTGTGTCCTTCCTAATATATAATTATATGCATTTTATATTTTTACAGAATATTTTGTACTATTGTCAACTTTTAAAAAGTTTTTCCTTTCAGGCATTATTTATTTTCATATAAAGAGCAAAATTTATGAAAGTTACATTAAATTAAGATTTTCTAATTCAGTGGTAATTTTTTTAAAGTTATACTTCCTAGCAATTTTAATAATTAAGAAGGCAAACTAAGATAAAAACAAAAATTGTAATAATTATTGCTTTATAAAATTGCTTTAAAATTTTTTTCTGTTTGTTATTTTACATGATTTTAACTATGTGAATTTATTAGATTTTTAACTAGCTTCAAAGTCACTTGTGTTCTGTGGCTTTAAAATGGGCAAAGAATTTTTATTCTTTATTTTGTGTACTGTAAGCAGAATTTAAGTTTTGCTTTATAAAAACCAACCAACCAATTTTCATGTTGGTTTCTTGTGTAGTGCTGTTACTTTTGCCCCTAATGATTTATGTCTAAGACAGGATCTGTACAAAATAGGAATATAGATCTTTTTAGTGCTGTAGTGTTTGCAAGTTTTGTGTTAGATCTTACCAAACTATGTATGCTTTAATGAAGTCAGTAGCTCAAACTTTTATTTCGTAAGTGTATATAATTCTTTGTTCTTTCACTTTAATTGTCTGTAGGTTATACATTTTTATATAGCTTTTATTATTGCTGTTAGTAAGCATACATAATTGCATATATAATTCATGTTTCTCTTTGAATAATTATTTCTAGATTATTTCTTTTTACGTACTTTTTTATCATTGTTGTTAATAAATTTTTAAAATATGTTTCAGTATGAAAGAAAGATTGATGATTTCAAAAGACAAATGGTTAACCTTGAAGCTCACATAACTGAGCAAGACCAAATTATTCAGAGCTTAAAAGATGTGAGTAAACTGGTACACAATATTCTCTTATTTCTGTCTCCTAATTTTGGTACATTCAATTCTCTTTTAAATAGAGAGCCTTAAAATATCTAATATTATCATTTCCGTAACAGAGCTATTTTAAATTTACCAGTTGGGAAAAATTCAAATTTAATTTGTAATAATTCTAAATTGATGAATTTTGAACATTGAAATTCAGTGCAGTAAACCTGTTAAGTTATGTAAGTAATGCATTCTGTAAACCTTTGCATAACTTAAATTTTACGTAAATAAAATTTGTAAATTTTATAAGGGTAACTTCATAAGAAATTGCAAAATTTATTATGATTATTTGCATGTGTCTATATATACATTCTGGCTATATGTACATGGCTGTTCATACATTTTGTAGACGATTTTCGTTGTCATTACAAAAATATTTTACCTAAAATTTTTATGTTTTAAATGTTCTGTTTGATAATGCTTATTCTTCACTGTATTTCTACACCATAATTTCCAAGACAAAGCCTTGCATTATCGGAAGAGGTATTTTATCCCATTGCTCTCAAACAGCTTTCCAAAGTCTAAGGAGGTTGTAGGTCAATGTTTGGACAACTTGTTAAAAGTCCAAAAGCACAAAAATGCATTGGTAATAGTTCAGAAGATTTAGTAGTTCAGAAGATTTGGGGATATGAGTGAAGGATTATGGTCTTGATACTCAATTCTTGTTCCTTTTTTTTTTTTTTTTCCCAGGAAATTAGCAGTAGATTTTGACATGTCGCTACTTACTTTGTCTTGATGAATTTGTCATGTTGTTGTTTGATTGATCATCTATGATCATCTGTTGATTGATCATAGAAAAGGAAAGTATTTCATATTTGAAAATTTCGTATAAAATATGTAAGATGCTTTGATAATGTTGATCTTAACATTTTTCTCCACTCTCTTTATTTTTAATTTGCTGTTATATGAAAAACCAACAACAATCATAAATCCCTTAGAAAAACTTTGTGTAGATTCTTTGAAGATTTTTTTCCTCCTATTTAATGATAATAAATAGATCTGTTTTTATTGCAGTCATTTAAATGCATGTAAGATTCATCTATTATGACAACATTTTCCCATTTTTATCCAGGTAAATGCTTCTCATAAAGAAGTCTGCAGCATGTTTTGCATTCAATGATATATCATGGAGAAAGACAATGCACATTATGTTATTTCACATTCTTTATGATTCAAATAAGCATTAATCACTTTGATTGCAATGATACTGAGTATTTTAATGATTTTGCAACTGTCCTTTGACAGGGTGGATTTTTTTTTCAACAGAAAAAGGTATTACTTTTGCAACATTTAAAACATTCTGTTTTTTCCTTGTTTGCGTATTTTTGAAAAAATTTCCGCTTAAAGCTAAATTTTGAAATTTTCCCCATTTTTGCCAACATTACCTTTAGATATAAAAAAACCCATGGCTTTCACAATGTTTTTTAATAATTAGATATGGATAATTTTTCTTTGGAAAGAACACAAACATAGCCTTCCATCCATTGCTTCTTTAAATGTGATATTTTGCATGAAAATAAAACTGTCAAGTAGAGATGATAATTTATACTTTCGAAAGTATGGCTGCAGTTAAGGCAAACCAAAATCATCTAAAAAACATGTGAACAACCTTTGTATATACCATATCTGCATATTTCACCCCTTTTCCTGCTAAATTTTATCATTTGAAAATCGGAAGGGAAAAATATGTGATATATACTGTTTGTGAAGAGATGGTTTAAATGATAAATATAGCATATTAAAAAACAACATATTACGATCCAGCAAGACGAACTAATATTATGATGTGTAATTTTGTAGGACTTATCAATTTCAGTATTTTTTTTTTTTTTACTTTTCTATTTGTGCATGCATTTTAGACTGTTACCATTATCAGAACTTTCTTAAATATATGCTGAAAGAACTAGGGGAGAATTATATGATGGAGGGAAATATTTGAGTAAGTATGGTATTTATCCATATATATAAAGAAGAAAGTCTGTGTGTTTGTCCTCTAATAACTCAGTCACTACTATAGCTATCATCACCAAACTTTCTACAATTCTTTTTTGGGTCGTAAAAAAGGTCAACGTCCTTTTCTTAAAAATAAATAAATAAATAAATAAAATAAAAAAATAATGGAGATATTAAATAAAACTCTGAAAAACAATAATTTTTTGCCCTCATTTTTTCGAGTGGCAACAGTTTCACAAGCTGGAGATAAAAATCTGCTTTATTTCGAAAGTTGTTGCAACTGCTTGCTTTCAAATTCTAGAGTTTTTTAATAAAAAATTTGTAAGTTTTACGATGAAATAAAAATAACATTGCCAAACATTAAATACAATATTCCCGGTTCCAGAAATTTGTGGGAAGCCATCTCGACTATTCTCATCTTCCTACGACTTATATTAAATATTAATTAGAAACTCTGAAAACATTAATTTTCACATCAATTTTTCAGAGTGGCAACAGTCTCGCAAGTTGGAGATAAGAATGCTTTATTTCGAAAAGTGTTGCTACTGCTCGCTTTCAAATTGTACAGTTTGTTAATAAAGAGTATGGAAGTTTTAAAAAACCTATACATATAAAGAAGTTGTGTGTTTGTTTGCGTTATTAATTTCTGATCAATTATAATTTTTTTTGCCATATTTAATTGACTCAAATTGAATATAGGTGAGATATTAGACGTAACTTGAGCTTTTACTTCCATTTCGTTAGAAAGACGAAAATGATTAAAAACTGCGTGCCATTGTTGCTGATATAATGAGAGAGAATTAGGTTATTTTTCTATCAAAACTTTTTATGTGGTTTCCATATCGCATCAGACTGAAAAATGTAAGACTATGAATTGTATTTTTTGCATTGTTATTAGAGAAGGATTACGGAAGTATCATTCTGTCTGTTGTTAGATGCATTACTCTCAATCTAACTTAACTGGCATCAAGTACTTCTGCTAGTATACATTATTTTACAAAGCATCATGGCAGTAGTATTTATTTGAGTTGTTGATTTGAGCTGTTGATTAACTAACTAAATAGAAAATGACCTGTTTATTGTAATTTCTGCTGGGGTGATTGACACAAGTTTGGCAACATTTTTGCCAATTTTTATGGTTGATGAGAAATAAATACCTAGATTTCCTGTGCTAGAATTATTCTAGCTTATACGATCTGAGAATTATTAGCCTGCTTTAAGCCGAATTGATTGTGATTAAATATAGATCCAGAACTAGTAGTAAATGAATTAAAGTTCCAAATATGTTTATTTTTAAATTTCTATTATAGTATTTATTGAATGATAATGACTTGTTTGTGTTTATAAGATTATTTTCTTATTAATTAGAAATATATTTTGAAACAAATAATTTTATATGAAATGGCAGCAGGAATTTTTCAAGTAATGTTTTCTGGTTAGCCTTGCTTCAGAATGTGTTTGTGAACTGTGCTTGAAAATAAAGTGGCAAAATAAAAATTAAAAAGTGTGTTTTGATTATTAAAGAAATTGCCACTCAACAATGTGTTTATTTGCTTTCAGGAATCTAAAAATTTCTGATGAATGAGCTTAGGCAGTCATGAGTATTAATTGTCTGATTGGACATTTTATTTATGGCCAACTTTTTGAATTGTCAAAAAAGGAAAAAAAAAAAAAAAAAAAAGTTCTAATTCATATTAACTTCAAGCTGTTAATGTTAAATTTCAGAGGATGTGTAATTTATATTTTATGCATGCTTTCATTTAATTTTATTTTCTTAATGTTTTTCAGCCACTAATAATTATTGTTATTTTTGTTTCATGGAAGTTCCAACCAACCAAATTTTAGAATGAGCTAAAAATATGGGCTTGTAGTAGGCTCATTAAAGAATGTTCATTACTTACATGAGTGATGCTTTATTTAACTTTCAAACCTATTTTTAAACATAAATGTTATATATATATATATATATATGTTTTAAAATGTGTTTATTAGTCTCTAAAGTTCATGATACAGTGTAATAATTTTTATTTTGAGCCATAGTTTTAAAAAAAAAAAAAAAAAAAAAAAAAGGTTCAAATTCATATTTTTATGTGTTTGATTTTTGTTATTGTACATTCTAAATTTGTTACCATTTCAGATAATATTAGAATTTTTAATGGTCATTGGTATTTGTATATGTCTTAATGAATTTTTCATTTAGAAAAAATTAACCTAATTTATTTTTCAGGAAAATGAAAGTTTGAAGACTAAACCTGCATCAGAAGAAACAGCATCTGAATTAGCTTTAAAATTAAATGATGCTGAAAGTAAGTGCTCTTTAGAGCCAGCTTTTGAGCTTCATATTTTTTTTTTTTTTTTTTTTTTTGATAATATTCTAAAAAATCCATAAATGGAATTTTTTTAACATTCTGTCATCTGTAGAGCAAGAAATTTGAGGATTTTCCTTGTTTTAAAAAATACACTAGTATTGATATTTATACATATTTAGACCACCCAACAAGGATAGTGGTTAGTGACACTGAGTGCCATACTGAAGGTCCTGGGCTCAAATCCCAGAGAAGGCATGGATTTTTGTAAATGTGTAGTGTCTGTGCGATATAGGGCACTCTAAATATGTGGTGAGACGAAAGTCTTCTCTAGAGGTTGTTGGTAGAGGAAGAGGAGTGGGAGACCCTCGGAGTCGTACCCCTGGGGTGCTCTCCTTCGAAATTAGAGCCAGAACTGAACAAAGTTGTAGTGTCACCTGTATGGTGCTCAAGGTTCTTGCCAATGACAGGCACAGTCTTGCACTCCATGCCACGATGAATTTTGTGGGTGTATTCTGATGTTATTATCAGAGACAAGTGAGATAAGTCGCAACAACACATTTTCATTTAGAGCTGCCATTTTTAGTTTCACCCGAAGCTTAGGTTAATAGTTAAGGAAATAAAATGCATAATAATTAACCATTCCACTTTCAAAAGATTATCTGTATGTTTAATGCTAAGGTGTATCGAGAAAAAGCATCACTTGGAGAAAGAGAACTATAATTTCATTCTTTAAAATGAAATTAATAGAATTCCTTAAAGTTGTGCGGGCAGTATATTTTGGAAAGCTAGAGAATAAGGATTTTGATATTGTCTATTATACTGTAAAAATCTCCAGAAAGTTTTCAAAACTAAGTGATTTTGCTTTAAAACAAGATAGTAATAAAATTATAACCTAGAAAATTAGGTTTCCTCCTGATTGGTTGGAAAAATAGAGTAAATTATATGGATAACTAAGATGATTCAATGATTTGGGGGCTTCAGAAATGTGGCATGTTAAACAAAATGACATTTTAGGTCTGATTGTAGTAATTTCACTTTAATATAAAAAAGAAATCTTAACAATAATGCAATAATGATATGTCTGCAAATCACTGTGTTCATTGAATCATAAAGTTTCAGTATATGAAGTTTTTTTTTTTTTTTTTTTTTTTTTTTTTTTAAGGGAAATTGAGATGGAATAAAGTATTTAATTTTCTAAACAAATATGTATATAAAGCAGTTTACTCTTATTATTTAGCAAAAACTGGAAAATATACCATTATTTTATAACAAAAATAAGCATGTTAATAGTTTATTTACATAATAGATAGCTAAAATAAAAATTAAGTAAATATATAATAGAAAAGTTACCTTATCAACACTTATATGCGAAAAATTCAGAGGAGAAAGTGTGTTAGAAAAGAATATGTAAAAAAAAAAAAAAAAAAATTTGCTGGCTTTTTCCATTGTTTACAGGATTGCAGCAGCAATTAATTGCATTCTTATAACTTTATAAACCACATTTCTGAGCATAGATTTTGTAACTGGGGCTGTATAGGATATAGCATATAAAACCATGAATCATTTGTCGTAATTTTTTGTTCTGCCATTGTCTACCTTGTTTCAAATAAAGTCACGTGGAGTGCATTCTAACTTTCCTTGATGGCAGGATCTCCTTATTTTGTATATTGTACATGCTTATACATGTATTATATTTGCTATTTTGCTTAGGCCGTGTTTTAAATTTTATAGCCTTTAACTTCTCCACAAAATGTAAATCAGCTTATCAGCACTTAATACATAAAATCAAAGTAAAGATCTTATGATTGCATTGTGATATCACGCTTACATTTCTGACACGAAATCACATTGTTTGACAACAGTTTTTGTTTATTTGTAGTCTTACATGTATTTTATGATTGCTTAACAATTTGGTTACTTTAATGCCAAATAGTTGGGGTTTTAGTGTACTTTTCTTACAGTGTTACTTACTATAATATAAAGTTTATTCAAGTTCTTGCTGTCCTTGAAAAACAGTCCATGATTTAATTTTATTTTTGTTCTTTTCTGTTCTTCGCAACCATTTGTTTATTAAAGAGAAGGCTAAAGTACAGGAAGAAAAGTTTCTGAAGATGAAGGAAGTTTACAGTAAACTTCGTGAAGAGCATATTGGCCTTATTAGAGGGGTAAGACCTAACAAGGTTTTTTTAGAAAAGATTTTATATTGATTCACATAATGCTGAAATTTTAAAAATCATATTTATTATGTAGAAAGCAGAGCTGGACAAACAGGTTTCTGTTCTTAAAACTTCGGTGGAAGTAGCTGAAAAGGAAAAACAAGTAAGTATTTGTATTGCCTGTATTTCATGCAGTAAATTATTATAAGAATAGATATGGTGGAACACAGCAGTGTTAAAAATGTAATGAATAAATAGAGGAACATGACTAAACTTATATTTATTTCATGGAAATTAACATAAGCATATTAGTTTAAATTATGCTTTAAATAATTTTTAAAAATGCTTCATATATTTTTGTGTACCTCATGAAAAATTTTATTATTTTTATTACAGAATTTTTTACAGAAGAATGTGTTTAATTTAATAATGTATTTGGAATTTATGCATTTTTTTAAAGCTATTATTCTTTAATGCCAAAACTTTTACTCCAGAAATTTGTAACCTTTACTAGTTAAATTTGTGGTAATTAAATACTTAGAAATATTCTGTCATAGTAATTTTGAAGCGTTTTATTCAAGTGTATTTGAAAGGATATTTATAGAAAGATAAAGATATTTTCTTTATAAAATATAATTAAAAATACCTTTTTGATTCAAATGATTATTTATATAAGAATAGAAGAATGATTAATTCAAATTAATTTAAAACATCTTATACTGAAATGTGATAATGAATAAAAATTTATCATGGAATATGTATTTGCTATAAAAATTATTAATTATTCAAAATTAACTTGTCTTAGAAATAATTAAGTTTTATGATAATGTATTTATATTTTGAATACTATTACTTAGCAATCTGAATAATTGGAAATTGGATGATGGGTTTAATGAACAGATATTAAGACCACAATAAGATGAATTCATGTTTATAAGATGAACAGATTAACAAAAAGAGTCTTTGACCAAGATGGGATCCAATGAAATACAGTGCAAAGTCCGAGATCTGGATGTTCAATATCCAAAATGATCTAAAATCCAGACCTTAAAGGCACTACCACAAAAAAAAAAAAAAAAAAAAAAAAAAAAAAAAAAAAAAAGAAAGAAAGAAAGAAAAGAGTATGAGGAATTTTTTTGTGTGTTGTGCACATGCGCATTTGATTGCCCCCTAATAAAACGTGGAGAGTCCCGATTCTTAATTTCACTTGTACTCATTATTGAAGAAACAATCATTTTAGCATAAATGTGTGTGATCAATAATTTGGTTCTATAGCTGCATATTTGCTTGGCATACATCTCAACCCGAAACATTCTACATAGAAACATCGATTGATTTAAAAACTACTAATATTTTATGTTCCTGACAGCATTCTGGCAAATCATTATTTTTATATTTTGTTTTCATCACCGCATGTTTATCAACACATGACAACTTGAGTAATGTCTCATGCAGCGATGCCTAAACAATTTTTTTTTCTATTAGCAATTCAATAACTAAGAGTATGGTAACATTTGATGTTGACATTACGCTTGGCGATAATTACAGATAAGTCAAATGCTCTAATGTTGACGAAAAAATATTTAACAAAAATTTCTTTTCATATCCTAAAAATAGATTTTGTTAATCATACTAATAGGATGAAAGATTACATTTAGTGCTATTTGAATTAAGAATAACTGATTTGTTATTCACATAAACCCAGAACTTACGCCAGAGCTCTTATGGCTGCACCGGCGAATAGTATTTAGGGAAAACAAAATTTTTGGAATTTAGAAAAGCACTGAGTAACAAAATTAAGAGATGACAAAATTTTTTAGATTGTAGAAAAAGCACTAGGACCCAAAATTAGCGACGGAAAAAATTTAGAACTTAAGTACCGTATTTGACGACATATAAGATGCACTTTTTTTCCTAAATTTGGTCTCAAAAAAGTTACCTGCTTCTTATACGTGAAGGAAACAGGTTAACTTTCAATACTGAATGCTATTTTTAGCCCGGATAAAGATCTAGACACACATAACTTTTTCTACATCTACATGTGTGTGGCCTTCTAAATAAGGGTGTGTCTTATATGCCGTCAAATACGGTAGGTGCTTAGCAGAATTTAGGACCTGCAGAAACATAATCAGGCGGTAAAATATCTAGTGCTGGGCCTCAGTAAGCTTAAGTATATGTGGGAATTTATTTATTTAGAACTCAGATAAGACTTAATGATGTGCAAAACAGAATCTACATGTTAAAACATGTTTCGATATCCATTAAACAAAAAGTAGAAGTGCTACAAAAAATGGATATGTGTATATCCGTCTCAAATTTATGCGAGGAGTATGGCATTGGAAAGTCAACTGTATATGCCATAATATAAAGAGGAACTTTATGAATTTTTTGTGGATTCCGATGCACCACTCTCAATGAATAACAAAAATTTTTTGCTATGCTAAAAGTGACGATCATGACAAAGTGAGGATTGAATGGGTCAGACAGTGTCGCAGAAAAGGCGTGGCATTGATGGGTCCAGTGATAGTGGCTCAAGCCAAAATATTTCATGAAGAAATGAACTTAAAAATGAGTGCACATATTCGACAGATTGGTTAACCAAATTTTAAAATCGCTATGGTATAAGGGAGTTAAAAATTTCAGGTGAAAAAGCTGATACTGAAGCTTCTGAACTACTTGCAGATGAATTCATTGAACCCATTAACGCTTTCCGGCGCAGTGTGTTCGGTGTGAACACACCAAAAATATTCCCTCTTTAGACACTGAAAATAATCAATAAATATCATGAAAACTGCACCAATGGTTACTTTTAATTTCTTTTATGAATAATAAATAGCAGCACCTCACAAGCAAATCATTAATGTTGAGATATATTCTGTTTTTAATGACACTGATTTTTCAAAGAAATGTATCAGATTTTTTTTTAATATAAAGAATATCAATGAAAAAAATCTTTATATAATTTTGTTGTTGATATGCTAATCTGCCTATTCTGTATAAATTTTAATTTTTATCTTTGAAATATTGTGTATAGTGAAGCCTTCAGTGTATGGTGTGTTCGGACTGAACACACTGTACTGGTAGCGCCTGTCACATGGAGTGAGTCACGGAAGGCTGAGAGCACAGATTTATTTGTATTTGTTTTTATTCTTTTCTGTTTTTGGTTTTGAAGACCCCAGTGTTTTGTTTTCACTTAGTTATTTGATTTTCAGCGAGAGCAGACCCTTTTTGCTTTCATCGTGCGTAGTTTGCTTAGTTTTGATTTCTGTAGATTTATATATATATATATATGTATATATGTGTAATTATTTTTTTCTAGTTAATAATTAATTGTAAATATTATAGTATTTTAATTATTTTTCTTATAAATTTTAAAATTGTGTAAATGGCTCGGAGAGGCCGCAGCATTGCCGAAGCAATGAGAGTTTTCTTCCCCCCTTTTTTTGGGGGGTGGTGTAGAGTAGCAGGCCTCCCCGTGGTGCACTCTGCGTTATGCTAAATTAGCTACAGAGCTCAGATCCTACTGTTTTTAAATCATAGACAAAGTGTTTTACTGTAATACGTGCTTCATAGCAATGCTCACGTATTGCAGCTCGTGCAGCTCTGTGTGTTCACTTCGGACACACCCACAAAATGGAAACGGTGTGTGCAAACTTTGTAAAATTATACCTGCATACTCTCCTAGGCCTAAATAGACTGCCTACAATTTTTTTTTTGTAAAGTTCCAACTTTAAAGAATAGCGTGCAGGAAAGGGTTAATAGTGAAATGTTATCTCTAGAATAAATTTAAAATGCTGTTAATTGAATAAAATGCTGTTAATTGCTGTTAATGAATAAATTTTAAATGTTGAAATGTGAATACAATACCGTGAAATACTTTAGCGACATCTACAGAAAAGGCTATAGCTGGTGTCAAAGATTCCAAAGCGAGACTAACAATTTTTACAAGCGCAAATGCTGCAGGAATGCACGAGTATGAACTTTTCGTAATTGGAAAAAATACATGACCTCCAGCATTTAAAGGAGTAAAGATTTTCCCTGTTATATATCGTGCAAGTAAAAGAGCATGGATGATGCAAGCATTAATGAATTTTGAAAATAATTTTATATTTGAGGCTGGGCAAAATTTGAATTTGGTTTCATTACCTGATGACACAAAAATTGTTCTGATTGTAGATAACTGTTTGGCTCATATTTTACTTAAAATTTGAAAGACAATGTATCCACATTATTCTTTCCTCTAAACTCTACGTCTATCATTCAGCCTATGAATATTTATAGTGCGCACTGAAATGCAAATATAAAGTAGCATTTTTAAAATCCATGTTAAATTTCTTGAATATTTTCAAACCTATTCAAGAATTTTGGAAATATTTTAGCATAAAATCTGCTATATGGAGCATCACGAGAACATGGGAGAATGTGTCTCCAGATACTTTAAAAAATGAATTACCAAAGGTGAACTTTTCAAGTTAAGGGATTTTGTAAAGAAATGTGGAGAAGCACTGAATAAATAAAGATGATATAACAGAAGTTTTTCATTGTGATGATAATACTCCAATCATCAATCAATTAATGGACGGCAAAATATGTAGTATGGTTCTATATCTAGAGAATGCCACTACCAAGAGTGAAGAAAGTCACAGAGAGGTTATTGAAAATGAAAAAAATTTTGATTTACAATTTAGTTGGAATTCTGGACACAGCAATGACAGGACTTGAACAGGGGAACTTAATAACTGAACAAGGAATTATGTCTATCTATAGAATTAAGAGAAAGTATTAGAAGCAACTTATACAATTTATATCGAAAGAAATGTTTACTAAAATAAGTAAATAAATATTAAGCTTCTTTTTTTTTTTGTAAATTTTAATACCCCTTAGATCATAAATGCTTCATTATTTCATAAATCATGATTTCATGTTTTTTATTTTATAATTTCTACATACCATCTTACTAGATTTAAATAGATATTTAATATTCGGAAAAATTCCAAATCCGGAATCGGCGAAGTCCCGATGAGTCTGTTCTCGGACTTTTTACTGCATATTCCTTCCTTATTTTCCTTTTTATTATAAACACTGAACATATAAGGCAATTATTATTTAATAACAAAGAAATGTGTTCATGTAAACTACATTTAAATTAATTTAGTCAGAACTAAGAGAAGATATAATAATTTCCCATACTGCATGTGCAGTTATTGTTTTTCCATATGTGCCAGTTTGGATTTATTTTAAAAATTGAGCTGAGTTGCATAATTTAAGAATAACAGAAGCTTTTAATTCTAATAGAAGCTTTGCCACAAAACTTCTAATTTTTTTTTTTTTTTTTTTTAAATATTGCAGTAACAAACAATTGATTGCCGTATTTTTAATAATAGTAGCTAGCACACTGTATACTTAGAATTGCCATGCTTATTTTTGCAGTCTCTGTCATATTTAGTATGTTATAAATAAACCTAAAACTTTTAATAAATGAAACTTTTGTTAAAAAATTTTCATTTTGCAGTTTTGCAGCTGAGGATGGTGGTTCGATAAAACCATCAAAACTAGTCCTGTGAAAATTTTGTAAATATAACGCTGATTTTTTTGTAAGTATGCATTTTTTTAATATTAAGAATAACCCATGCATTTCTTTAATTACAGTCATTAACTCAACAAATTGAAGAGCTTAGCAATTCAAATGTGAAAACTGAAAGTCTTCAGAAATTGGAGAATTATGAAGTTCAGTGTGGTATTTTAGTAGATGAAAAAGCTACCTTGCTTGAGCAAAATAAGGTATGAAATGTTTTTTATAATTTTTTTTAATGTTCATAAATATTAAAATTTTTATGAAAGCTGCTTTCAATCTGACAAAGGTATTAGTGTATGCTTGTTGATTTATAACATAATAAAACTTTTCATAGCTCCAATTAATGAATAATTAAGTAAACAGAGCTTTATCTTAATAACAGTGAATAAAGCAGGGGTTTCCACGCTATCTTAATAGTTGGGCACTTCAAGAATTGCTCAGCATTTTATTCACTCCTTCTACTGTGCTATTACATATTTATGACAACCTCCCCAAAAAAGTAGTACAATTTTTATACTTCATTTTAAACAGTGTTTGTTATTTTCTAGATTATAGTTGTCTAATAATATTCTGACTCCAGCTGTAAATTTGGCCACAACTTTATTACATTGAAATAATGAATTAATAAATCATATATCTCAAAATTTAGAAACAATTAAAAATTTACTTCAGAAAGAAATTATTGATTTCGCTTTAAAATTTTTAATTTACTCACAAGTAAAAAACCCAGAAAAATAAGGGGGAATGAAGGAATGATTATAAATTATACTTCAATGTGAGAAGTTTGAAATTCATTTTAGTTTACATTTTTGGAGCAAACATAAAATACATTTAATAGATTTTACCCCTATAATTATAATATATATAATAAATAAATTTCTAAATTAAAAATTGCTACAATTTAGTCACTGTCCTATTTTGATTTTTGGATAGTAATGGCCATTTTCATGACTCCGAGTGACAAAAGGCATGCTGCTTTTTAAACATTGAATTTTTTTAAAAAAAATTTTTGTTACGTAATGTCGTCTTTATTGGGTAAATTCTTTGGCTTCTTAGTAGATTCTTGTTTAAATTTACATATTTAATATAATTGATCCTTTTAATAATTGAAATATTTGTATCTTATTTATTTTTTTATGTAAAAGTATGTGCATGTTTTTTTTTTTTTTTTTTTTTTTTTTTTTGTAAGTTATGTAAAAGTTTTTCCTGTTTCCTGTCAATGAGAAAGAGATATTTATTTAAGTTTGCTCTTTTTACTTTAAATTTTTTACCTGTTGAAGATTATTAACTGCATAACTATAAACTAGCTATTAATAATTAAAAAAAAATCTGTTAGCTGTTAACACAATAACAGATAAACATTAATCCAGTTTACATGGTATTAACATACAGGCTATATACAGGCTGTAACTCTGTGGCATTCTTTAACTTTTTGTTCGTGTTAAATCTTCCATACATTGAAATTACATGTAGTGAAGAAGCAATCAAACTTATTTAATGTGAGTGTAATTCATATCTTAGAATTCTGCTAACCCATACAACTTGGACCAAGTGTTGTGTGCATTGGAGAATTTTTCACATTATAGGTCATATCTTCTAGAGTTTTGTTTGCAATTTTCCCTTTTTAATTTTTATATTAAATTTTGATTGTTTTCTCACAAATAACTAACTAAATTGTGCCTTAAGAATTAGTTAATCAGGATTTGAATGCAAAAGTATATTTTTAATACCTTAATCAAGGTTAATTCATTTTTAATACATTAACCTGATTTAAGGGAAATCAGGTTAATGTAAGGGTAGCGCTAATAGGTAGAAAAAAGGGGGAGTACTTTCAGGAAATTTCTTTTAAAAAAATCTGAAAGTTTTTTACCAGTTTGCTGTTATGCTCACTCCTACTGCCCCCTTCTTTTTTGGTCTTTTTAGCCTTATTATTAAACATAATTTTCTTTGCACTTATGCCATATACAATTCAATAGCAAAATTACAAAACTTATAAAAGCAGTATATGTGTAAAAATTGCAGCGTTAAGTTTTGGCATGCATTTCTATGTTTTCCTCAGTTCATCATGTCGATCAGTTTTCTTATTAATATCAGATCTCTTTACAGAACTTTTTTTTGTCTTTTTATTATTAATGTCTTGGCACTTATGCCACATAAAATTTGATTCAACTGCAAAATCACAGAAAACTAAAGATATGATATAAACAGCATATCTTTAGAATTTCCGTCGCATGCTGGAGATAAACAACATTTTTTTTTTTTTTTTTTTTCCCTCTATACTGTGCTGTCACTGCTTGCTTTGAAATCATTCAGATTATTAATCAGAAATTCATTAAAGTTTTACAAAGTATGAAACAGACAAATTCAAAATTTAAAATTTGGTCTTCCAGTTGCCCATATTCGGGTGGAGGAGTATGTTATGCTATTCAAAATTTTATTTCTCTAGGTACCGTTGTTTTTTCACAGTACAAGAAATATATATAGATTCATGCAGATTCTTCATTATTTAATTTCTTTAAATATATTGCAGGCTGATAATATTTGGTGGCAGCAATTTTAATAGTGATTCGAGGCAAAATGCCATTTCGAGACTGATAGCCCTACTGGGCTAACATCCCTTTAGGCTTTGGGAGGGGGACACTTGTAAAAACACATTGAAGTATTTTATGTTGAAAAATTATGTCCACTCACTAAATTATTTTCCAAGTAATTTTTATGCCCTCAAAACAAAATAATAAGTAGATAAATAAATAAAAACTTTGCTTACATGCCATCAGCAATATCATTTTTCCTTAATTTAACTCCTGTATTAATTTCGCTGTTACATTTCTTGCATGTGCACTTGGATTAATAACACTATTTAGCAGCTTACAAAACCTACTAGAATTGAAACTTTGTATTTATTAAAAAAAAAAAAAATGTTTTTTTGTCCCCTTGTTATCATTTCTCCATTTTTAATACCAGAAAAATCTATATACAGCTTTATATACATGTATATGTTAATCCATTATTCTTTCCTGCTGATGTAGTCAAGTTTGCGCATTGAGGAAATATAAACTGAGATGTGTTTAAGTTGGAACTCAGTGTTTGAAAAGCTGTGGATAAATAAAATTCTATATATTTGTTAATCACATAAAAAAGATTATGGTATGTACGTCCAGTAAAAATGATTTATATAAAGTGAAAAGCTTATTGTTTACTGTTAAAAAAGATAACACTGATGTGTAAACAGAAAGTACTAAATAAATTCGGCAGTATAAAGTAAATTTGCTTCTTCATTTGAAAAGTCTTATAAATGTGACGTATTTTTGTTCAAAGGTTAGTTGCATATTTATATGAGAAAAGTTTATCATTAATTTTAACACACTGGATTTTTTAAAATTCAAAATTTTATTTGTTTATATGCAAAAAAAATGAACATAAGTTTCAAGCATTCATAGATAATTGGAATTTTATCTTAGCATTCTCAGATCCAGAAAACTGACTGGATTTACATATGAAATAGCTTTTAAAACTTAATATTAACTTTCAGAAGAAGCAGATGTTAATTAGAAGCAATTTATCTTCCATGTAATTTCATTTAACTGGAACAGGAGAAATGGTTAAGTTTATTGGAAAGTTGAACCAGTGGAGATAAGAAGGGCTGTTGCAGGATAAGAAGGCTTGGGTTTAGTAGAAAGATGATCATGTATTAATTGTTATTTGTATTTATCAGGAGAGCAGGTCACTAATATCAATATTCTTGTGTTTTCATGTTGCATGTTATGAAAACTTGAAATATGGCAGTGTGCTGTAAATGTATGCCCCCTCCTTTTTTTTTTGTTTGTTAAATATGTTTTTTAAAGCATTCTGAATGTTCTGCGATGAATATGCTTTAACCGTTTGAGTGCCAGAGGTATTGAAAAACCACTGTCGAGGAATCCCAAACAGCACAACCGCACTTTCTCTAAATGAGTACAAAAAGACCCAAGCAGCATGATAGCGCTTGTTTTATTTTATGTCCAGAAATACCAAGCAGCATGACAGCACTTTGTTTATTTTGCATCAACGTGCACTTGATTTAAATCAAGTGCCCACATTATCAACATCAAGTGCATCGTCAGTTGTCCACAAAGTTAGAAATATACTGGGTTTTCTCGACATAAAATCTCAGCACTATTGCACTGCTTGGAACTCAAACGCTTAAACCCATTTATCCTGAAATAAAACATAAATGTGGGTAAAAGCAAAAATATCTTTTGGTCAATAAAAACATGTTCTAAACTAGGTCTTTCACAGTAGCATGAAACAAACTATCACAAAGTGTTGGGCAGAGGTATATGCATTAGATTATATTTGAATAGTTAGCTTATATTTTATGCGTCAAGATTATTTATCTTAAAATACTTTTACTGATGCAACTTTTTTTTTTTTTAATTAATCTGCAGGATTTGGAGAATAAATTATGTGCTATGCAGTCACAGTGTACAACTTTGGAAAATGAACTCAATAATGTTACTGGGAATATGAAAGAACTACATGATAAGCTAAAAGAAGTACGGGATCAGTATGTAGCACTTGAAGATAAAAGCAGATCTGATTCAAATAAAAAATATGTATATTTAGGTAAGATATATATTCTGTTATAGTTTTTATATTTATATTATTAATATGTGTGATTTTTCATTAGCTGTAAGTATTATGCATTGGTATTAGTGAGTGTTCTGCAAATGAAAAAAAGGTGCAAAGTGTTTTACAAATATTTATTTAATTCCCTTTTTTTAATTACCAGTTATTTTATTTAATTTTTAATAGAATTTATATGGTCTGTAGAAGTATTAAGGCTTTCTGGAAAATGATGTGTGAGCTTAAGTTCTTAATTTCAACCAAATTTGCTGAAGGTCCTTAATTTTGCTTATTTCTGTCTCTTTTTTATGACTGGTGTTTTGAGTATGAATTAACATTTGGGATGAACATGGAATTCAAATCATGCAGTGTGTAATGGAGCCATCACAAGTTAGCGTTTTAAACAAGGAATGATATCAGAAGAAAATTTCTTGATGCTTGCTCACCAGAATGCAGATCAGTTAGATAGTATTTAAGCTGAAGTTTTTGTATTGTAACACAAAGTGTGCTTTTTCCTTTCATAGCATGTTAAGTTTCTGCCAGCTCTGATAAGTTTGCAATTATTTGGCTTTGCATTATCACTCCCAACGTATAAATCTGATGTGCCAGTTAGAAATTGTGAGCATGCTTAAATTTAGATTTAATTATGTAGTTTTTGGCTACTATTCTGTATTTTAAATTGGAATTTGTTAATTTAGTTGCATCACCAAAAGTTGTAATTGACTTTGTTACCACAATAACATGCACTTATGTTCAAAGTTTATGTTTAAATAAAAAGGCTTAAACCTTTCCAAGTCTCTACAGTTACTTTCAGATGCAGCAATAATTCGCTTCATGTCTGTTAGGGTTTTGGACTACTTAGCTTTACCAGATCAAGTAAAGCTGTATAACTTTCAAAACAGGTGTTATCAACAAGAATACTATCTGTCTGCATTGAAAAGGATAATTTCTTGGACTTGAACTTTGGCCTTATGGTCTCGCTTTGAAATGCGACTATGGCGAGACTTTTTTTAAATCTTAAAATTTATTCTACAGTGAAACTTTTGACATTCTTGAAGGCTGTGCTATGATGAACATGACCTTAAAGAAGGTCAAAATGTAAACATCATAAAGATCAGGCTTTCACATTCCTCAATGAAAAAATTACATTAGGTTGTAGCTCCCCCCCTTTTTTTTGTAATTAAAAAGAACGTTAACTGAATTTTATTACTGCTTAGTAAATAGATACAAGATACAACAGGTTCCCCCCCCTTTGCTGGTGATTTTTGCATTGGACAATGATTGTCACAACTTTAAAAAACTTGCTGGTAAGGAGTGCAGTTTTCAGGTGCTTCTCATAAACTGGGCTATTCTTTCTTCATTTGGGTCATTCTTCATTATAAAATCAAGCAGTTCTTACACTTTTTTTTAACAAATTATTTAACTTCTTGTCTGTTAAAGATGTGTTATCAACATTTTTGCTATTTATGCTTTCACTGTTAATTGTGTTATGAGATGATCCACTTTTTTATATATCATTTTCGATTAATTCCTTGACATGTTCTTATTCCATGTCGGAAAATCCTTTCCCACCAACTGCTTTTGTAATTTGTACAGTTTCTTTGACTTCGTTTTCAGTGATGGAAATCCTGTAAAATTGCTGACAGCTTTTATCCAAAGCTGATGCTAGCAAGCATTATGTAGATGAATCCGCTTGTTGCCATGCGAGTTAAATCATTTTTATGTAGTGGTCTCAGTTGAATTGCTTCCAAAATGTCATTAGCACTATGTACTTTCTTTTACATTGTGCTTCATTTTCAGAGTTGTAAACATGCCCGACATAATAGGCATTGAATGTTCATATAATGCCTTAATTTAGTGGTTGGATTAAGGAAATTGCATAAGGTGGGAGGCATAAAAACTTCTGCATTTGGATGCTAGGTTGTATGACAATGTGTATGAGCAGAATCTTGTCCAGCAGTATGCATTCCATAAGTGCTTATTGTAGTCAGTTTTTTGTAAGTTTTGTCTTTTTAATTAGATCTATTGTAATTTGCATTTGTCATTTGAAAATGTTTTTTTTTTTTTTTTTTTTTTTTTTTTTTTTTTTTATTTTTATTTATTTATAAAAATGTATTAAAAGGACTAAATCGTTCTTCTTTCCAGATTGTGTGTTAAAAGAAGCTGAGCATATTGTTCAGGTTGCAGTTGATGATCTCGATAGTCCTGCTTTATCTGTTAATAATAACTGTGCTCCAGGTAAAGCAGACATCATGCATGCATACAATTGCTTATATAAATTTGAAAAAAATTATATTTATTTGAAAAAAGTATAAATAATACAGAATTTATTTATGTGTAAATACAATGATTTTGTTTCATTTAATATTCTTAACCTTTGTCTTTTTTTACTACCTTTCTGTTTCCATAAACATAGTACAGTCAAAAGTCGTTAATCCGTACTCGTCGGGACTTCGGCGATTCCGGATTATAGATCATCAGTTTAAATCTAGTAAGATAGCATGCAGAAATTACAAAATTAAAAATAGGAAACCGTAATTTATAAAATAAAGAACAATTATGATCTAAAGGGTATCAAAATTTACAAAAAGAAAAAACTTAATATTTATTTGTTTACTTTATTAAACATTTATTTCAATGTAAGTTGCTTCGTTTCATGTGATAATACTTTCTCTTTAATTTAATTAAACAGACATAATTTCTTGTTTAGTTACAAAGTTCCGCTGTTCAAGTCCTATAGTTGCTGTATTGAGAATACCGACTAATTAGTCAATCGAAATGTTTTCGTTTTCAATAACCTCTGGGTCACTTTCTTCACTATCGGAAGCGAATTATAATGACCAGGAACTTGATTTAAATCATATCAAAGACGAGAGGAAATACTACACTTAGTAAGGAATTATAAGCCAAATAAAATAAAAACATCTGCCCTGAAGATAAGGATAGTGCTGACAGATCAACTTCCAATCCACGGGGAAATTGATAAACAGATTTCGGATTTCAAAACATACTTTCGCTTTGTAGATATAAGTTACATATTAGTAAATATACATCGGAAATTCTATTTGACATAATTAAAAGTTCAAGCTTACTTTTATGAAATTGCTCTAACAGTCTGCAAAAAATAATAAGCCGGATCCAATTCGAAGATTAAGGAACAACGCAATCTGCAACATTAACTGAATTAGATAATTTTAGCTTAGCTTATACCTTTATTACACATTAAACGCGTATGCGCACAGACATATTCGCAGCCGTAAAGGTCTTACACGCACACTTAAACACCTGTGCGCATGCGTGAACGCGACGCATGCGCAGAAAGTTTGTAGCTTTGAGGTCTGGATTATGGGTGTCCGAATTAACGAGTTTTGACTGTAGTTCTTACTGATATGCTTTTATAGTAATATTGTTGATGTTCTGTAGTCTTTTTTTTTTTATGTAGTCTTTTCTGTTTTTCAAACTTTATAATGATGCTTTTATTTTTTCATATGTGGTTAGGTTTATCATGTAAAGAGAAATTCTTGACACAAGTATTTTCACTTCTTTGGATGTATTTAGAAACACAAAAATTTCTGCCATCATGAGACCATCATTAGTTGGGTTACAGAGTTTAAAATTTGATTTAAATCGGGAAGATTCAATTTAAAGCATTAATTTTTTCTTTATTAAATCAAAGGTCATTTTTCAAAAGTATATTTTTAGTACTTTAGTTTCCGGATTATTTGACAAATGAGACTAAGTGATGGTCAGATAACATGAAGTTGCTGATAATTATCGGTTAAAATAGATGTTTTAGAAGTTTAACTTGAGTTATAAACTTGATAAAATAAAACAGTACAGATGTCCAAGCAATAAAATGGTATACTTAAATACAGTATTTCACACATTTTTCTTCTGTGCCTGTGTTACTTATATAATTCCTTATTACTGGTCATGGAAAATTAAAACTGTGCATGCTTGTTTGATGTTTGATATGTGATAATTATATAATGTATTCCTTAGATTTTTATTCGTGTAGGAGATCATGCTTTATCATTAATTAGATAATCAAATGTTTAAGAGTAATGACAGACAATTTCTAACTGCCATGTTGCTGAACTTTGTAAGTTTGCTGAACTGTTGTAACTATTGTTTGAACTATTGCTGAACTTTTGTAAGGAAAGTTTTATCAACTACAGTCATCAAAATGCCCCTTTTTTATTAAGTGAAATTTACTTTTTGGCTTAACACCTGCATAAATAATTGTTAATATATATTTTATTAAATAAAGCCTTTCTGTGCAGTCTTTCTTTTTTGTCCTCTCTCTACTTCAGCCCCTTTTTTTAAGACGATTGAAAAATTTTGAACTGGAATCTTATATATCTGCATTTATTTTTACTATATTTTTGCTCAATTTATACTTTATTTTGTAGTAATTTTTTACTGAGCTACAGGGATATCTGGTATAGCATATTTTTAAAGTGTGGATGTTCTTTTATTTCAAGATCACAGTATTTGCTACATTTGTAATGAAGTTCAGTATTTTTTTTTTTTTTTTTTTTTTTTTTTTTTTTTTTTTTTATATAGAATACTTTCTGCAGCAGTTAGGGAATATCACTGTAACAACAGAACAGTTTGAAAGTTCATACTTAAAATTTGCAGATAACCCAGAAGGTCAGTTCTTTTTTAATTTCTATTAAGTGTGATTTTGAATTAATGTTTAATATTTTAGTCATTGGAGAAATTTTTTAATATTCTTATATAAAAATAATTAGTCTGGTTAAAAAGCATATGGGAATCTTATAAATGTGAGAAGGTAGAGAAAATTTTATATGAATCTGTTGTCTGCCAACATATAAAAATTAAGAGAAATATTGAGAGGGAGACAGAGAAATTTAGAAAACAGGTGACAGTTGCAAAAGTAAGGACAAAAGGTGCAAGTCATGGCCAATAGGGACAATAATAATAAACCACAGAACATTATATTGCTTTGTCTAGATGAATAAAATACAGTGCATAACACAATTTTATATTCCTTGTATGTGAGTCTGATTTATCTGGTAGAATTTCATATTTCTTTTGCTAATTTATGAAACAATCTCACTCCTGAGATGTCATTTCTCTGCACATGTATATTTATTCCAGCAGTCTTTGAAAGCCTTGAAAAAGTTCTTATTCTATTACTTATGATAAACTCCGGGATCACCATGGTGTTACATTGAATTTCTAGCATGAATTAGAGATAGTAACTATGAAGATTTCTTCAGTAATAAAAACTGGCAAAGTCACATGGAGTAATGCTATATGAGTAAGAATGCTGCTGTATCATATTTTAGCCTCATAACTGTAGAAATAGGATTCAGAGAGTTATCCTGTGGCAGAAATAAGTTGGTAGTCCATTTATTCAGGAGATTTTTGCGCTAACAGTTTTTACACTTCTACTGGTGCACTTTTGGCCTGGAACTTCATACAAGTAGTGGAGGACATCTATATTCTATAGTTTAGTTACTGAACCAAGAAGCAGACAAATATAATGTACAATTACTGTTAAAAAAAACCGTCAAAAGAATTTTGTACTTGTTTTTTTTGGGGGGGGAGGGGTAAATTTTGTATTTGGGTTAAGATTTCTTTGGCACAAAGCAAAGAAGTAGTATACCATTTTGAATAAACTTCCTTGACATGTCCTATAGATTCATATCTTGTCCTTTGATGTCATTTTGTCTAAAATAGTGGGATCTGCTTTTTATCTTTCAAACAGATTGTTTTGGAAATTAAAAAAATAAGCTTTACACATTCATTGTATTCCAAACTCAACACATTCATTGTATTCCAAACTCAACAACCAGAATTGTGTTCACTAACCCATTAGAAATTTAATTGGGATCCATAGTGTGATGAATGAACTAATGTCTCTGATGAGACTTTTTTTTTTTTTTTACTTTTGGTGTCTGTATCTTCATTTCACAGTGCTGATGGTCATCTACCATGTGGTTCATTTTTCAGTGCACACTTAAAATCATTGAACTGTTTGTAAATTGGTGTTTTATTTAAAAGAGCATTTCTATTCAGCATATCAAAGGACAATAGCAATTTGTTTGGGGGGGGTTGCCTAAGCTTTTCTCAAACTTTTTGAAAAATGTTAGTAACATTTGTATCTTTTATGAGCATATTTGTACCCTATATTTCTGGATTTAATTTTCACCTAATCGTAACACTAAGCAGTTACCAATATGTAAATTTTATAAAAGGAATCATATTTTTTAAAGAAGTATTTTTCAAATAAGACAACATTTAAGTTTCTTTTCCATCCCCTTCCCCTTCTTGAAGGTACTGCAGCTTTGGTTTTATTAATTTATTTCTCCATCCTTTCTCTCTCACTTTCTCTTTTTGATATACTTGTAACATTTTTTCGATTCAGGTTTCAGATTCTTACCGTAATTTCGTGCGTATAGTCCGCGGACTATCTGTGTTTAAAATGCGAATTTTTGAAGCTGCGGACTATCCACCAGTGCGGATAATACGCTGGTTGTTCACGGTTAAAATTGTTGAAATTTAAAAAATACGCTGTTGTGAACTGCCGATGATCAAATATAAAAAACGCGTGGGATTCTAAGAAAACATTCGTATGTATCGTATAGTAAACCATAGATCATAGTGCAGAACGAATTAGTAGTAGCAAGTAGAGCTCCTAAAATCGAGGCTGGCGTGTCAAGCGATACCGGGATATGAGCCAAAGAAAGTCTTGTATGAGCATTCACTTAGCGCAACCAGAGCAAAGAATGTCTGTCTATAATACATATTCTTTGCCTTCGCACTGCTTTAGCGCAACTGCCGGGAGGGGGAAAAGTAGTTGATGCGTCAACTCGGTTTTTAGGAGCCATAGTAGCAAGTACCTGGAGTACGAAAAAAAAAGCGTGATTCATTTACTTATAGCGTGGTTTGGCAACACCGAGTGAGTGGAGTCGAAGGTCACATTTCATTACCACTTATCACAAGAATAGCACGTTGCACGGTATTTTGTTTTCGTATTTTGTCTTTTATCTTCGATAACGTTGATGAAACATCGCCGGAGTTTTACTGCTGAGTTTAAACTTAAGGTAGTTGAGAAAAGCTGAAAAAGATGGAAATAGAGAAGCGGGCCCTTATTGGTTTAATCCTAATATCCGGTGCACACCGGATTTGACTACTTTTGGCGACTTTTATGATGAGCAGTGAAAACGGGACATATACGATGAGTAGTTAATGGGTCATCCAAAAGAAAATATATAGTTAAACATAGTATATATACTATGTATGTAGTATAATACTACTATGCGTGTATAGTATATATATAGACGTTTCTTTGGATCATTTTTGGTATTGGCGATAATTTTCAAAGTTGCGCCAAGGCTGCAGCTATACTAGGATTTTACCCCGTTATTTTGAAGTGGACGAGAAAGCGGTGAGAAATTGGCGCAAACAAAAGGATGTGTTTAAAAAGCATGGGAATATTGCCGTATTAAAAAAACGTAATTTCGGACGTATAGTCCGCGGACTATCCGGTGGTGCGAACTATCTGACAATTTTTAAAATTTTTTTTATATAAAATCGTGTCTGCGGACTATGCGTGCGAAATTATGGTAATTCAAATAATATGCCTCAGCAATAAAGCTGTTCCTTTCTTTTTAAAATAATTTTGAATTACATCCATTGTCAGAAAAGTTCCAGGACAAATTTTTTTATTATTATTTCTGAGTTTACAGTACTAAAAAGGAACAAATGTTGTTTTTATGTTACCTGGTATTTATTCTTACTTGACATGACCTTGGTCATGTTTCCATGCATACTTACTAGGTATAGGACTGTGCTTAGCAACCCACTGTTTGGATTGTTGTTGCATTCCTTAAGGTGACTCAATGACTGCTCATTGGTAACAAATAGTATTGTGAATATTATCTCTGGATTAAGCTTGGGAAAACCCCCTGTGAAACATGGAACATAAGGCACTTTTAAGAAGTCGTATTTTTGAGTGGAACAAAAGGTTTCGTGAAAACAGAGATTCAGTGCAAGATTATCCCAGAGGTGATCACCTGTCTATAGCACATACCAAATGTGGAGTGTGTAAAACAGTTATTGCAAGAAGACTGTCTTGTAATTGTGTGTATGATATCTCAAGAACTAAATTTAAATCAAGATGTGTGTCACAAGATTTTATGCAAAGATTTAGGGAGACGGAAACTTAATGCAAGAATCATCCCTCATTCACTAACAGATGAACAGAAAGAGGAAAGACGAAGAATTTCTGCTAAACTATTGGATAGAGCCGAACATGATCCCACATTTGTGTCAAAGATTATTGTGATTTTTTCCTAGTTTCTGTGAGTGAAAAGGTGACTGAAAGAAATGAAAGCTTCATCAAGATTATTGCAGATACCCAGTGGGTTGTGACAAATTAGCTTGCAAGAATCGCAGTTGAAGATTTCCACACTTGCTTCCAAAATCTCCAGAAACATTGGCAATTGTATATAGATAGCAAGGAGACTACTTTGATAGCAGCTATGATCATTATTTGGTAAATGCAATTTTCTATTTTTTTTTTTTTTTACGACCTTTGTCCTGGAACTTTTATGACAGAGGATGTACATTATGCCTCTAATATTCTGAAAATGCGTGATGTCATAGTACTTTTTCTCAAATATTTTCAAGAGTAGGTTTTTGATTTAAAAGCAACATTTTTCAATTAACAGTCAACAATTTACCCTTTTTGTTGATATATTATATATAAAAAAAGTTTAAGTGGTAGATCACATCAAAAATGATCCTGAAATTTTATACCCTGTACAGACTTTGCTCAGTCGATTTTTAGAAGAAACAGTTTCATGGTTATTTTTACAATATCAAACAACATTTTAATAATTATAAAAGCATTTAAATAGGTATAGTTTAAAAATTTTTTTCAGAGGTTTGTATTTATGATAGAAATAATTTGGGCATAAATTAGTTTGTTATATAGAAGAGTGTGACTGTATTATTAGATAAATATGTTAATTCATACACCTTCAGGAAATACAGAATGAGATTTGGACTCTAGCAAATGTCTTCCTGGTATAATTCAAATCTGAGAAGTGTTGACTTTAAATGTTCTTGTTTGGTTGAGTTATATTTAAATGTCCTTGTTTGGTTCAGTTATATTTTAGATAATGTGAAATACTTTTTTTTGATCTTCTGGACAAGAGAAGAACCAAATATCAGATTAGATGAACCTGTCTGCTCTTTTTATCAGCACATATAATGCAGCCACCAAGCTGCCATAGTGTCATTTGAAGGGTTATTATGTGATGTAGTGTTTCATTTGTTGCTACTAATTTTGAATGAGAAACCAAGAAAAATAATTTAGATAAATAGCTCAAGATTTTTGGAATCTACTGAAAAATTATATTGCAAGTAGATTGATACTGTAACACTTTTTTACATATCATTTCATACCAGTAATAAGTAAGGGAATGATGTAGAGTTTAGTGTAGGCCTTGTAAGACTTATTTTGTAACTTCCAGATAAATGATTATTACATTTAACCTTAACAGTTCTATTTTAGAGAAAATTATTGATTGATGTGTAATGTTTTCATTCAATAGTAGTTTTATCCTTCAGGGCAATTTATGTAGTTTTGTGACTAATTAATTCCTTCAGGTTATTAAATTGAACAAAACTACAATGTTGCATTCCTATTTTGTAAATCTTTTAATATTTTGGTGGCGTCATGATTTCAAGACAGATTGAAGAAATCAATTTAATTTGTGTGGCTACATGGTAGATGGTAACTAAATTTTATTTAGGTGACAGTAGGTGGTTACTGTCAATACTTTTCAGTATCATTTATAATGGATAAAGTTAACTGGTAATATACTTTTAAAGTTTTTGCTAGCTGAATAATTAAAAAAAAATGGGAGCAGATATAACATTGCTAAAGAGAAGAATGACATCACATTAAATAAAATAAAATTCTTAACCCAAGACATGTTTTCATTGTGATCACCAAAGAGAATTGAATAGTCAATGGTTGAGCTTAAACCATCTTGAAGATTATTTTAAGTTGGTGGATGGTGCATATTAAAAATGTTAATTGACTGAATATTTCAATTTAACTCATATGTAAGGATTCAGTATTCATGATATCACTTATTTGGGGTGAAAGGGAAGCAAAGTAACAGCATAGCAATTTGAATGCATCCAAAACTCCTTTCTATACATCTATGTGATAATTTTGGGCCAATGTAACCAATTACAAGAAATGGAAATATTTACCACAGAAGCTTATAAGTATTTTCGGGTTTCATGGAACTCAAATTTTCAAACTCTAAGCTTAGATCCCACTTTGATGGTTATGAATATATGGCGATCATGCGAAATGACGGGGATGTTTTAGATATCACAAATTGTAATTAAAATGATTAAAAGGATTTGTGCAAAGGTGTCTGCTAATTCAAACTGAATTACCCAGGGCAGGCCGCGAGGACGCCCCTTTGTTTACGAGGTTTCCCCCTTTTACTTGCTTAATTGCTTTAAAGTAGAGTGCAATGAAGGAAACCACTGGTGGTACCTTTCGTAAGAGCCACCGCTAGCTCAATAAATAACAGTGATTTAAATAATAAAATCTTAATTCGCATATCAAAGATCTCTTTGCACACAACATTTCTTTTGTAGATCTTTCCGTCATTTTTAAGCTTGCCTTACAGAGGACCATCCATTATTTTTAATTTTATGTCCGTTCTTTCACGAAAACTTGAACAAGCAACATAAAGTTGACCGTGTCCAAATGCAGGCTCAAGTAAAAAAAAATGTCAACATGCTTAAGCGTTTGGCCCTGAGACTTATTGATGGTCATAGCAAAGGCAAATTTTAACGAAATTGTCTATGTCTCAATTGAAACGGCAACCCTGTGCCGTGGCAACTTGACCCCATTGGCTAGTACAGTTACGCAAGCAACCAATAAACTATCGGTGACAAACAGATGCTTAAGCCGCATATAATAAAGATATTTATTTATTTCATTTTATTTGTTTTTCATCGTTGCCAGTTTTTGCTGGTTGCATATTTCTGAATTCTATTATATCTAGATGTTAAATTTATTTATTAAATGTTAAATGCACATGCTCTTGTATTTTTAATTTTTCTGGCTTAGCTCTCTCATAATATTCATCACGCGCTGCACTGCATGAGGAATAAAACAATTTACAGTTATGCAAGCAACCAATAAACTATTGGCAACAAATACTTAAGCCACACATATGTATATATAAGATTAGTAAGCAGTCTGGGGTAATGATTTCAAACCCCATATTTTTTTTTTTTTTTTTTAGTCTTTCTTCCCCTCTTATTTCTAGCATTCAGCCTGTTTTCATCATTAAAGTATTATCATAGTTCTTTAGCTTCTGAATTTACCATAATAAAGGTCACAAAACATACTTGGAAATTGCTCTTACGTTATTAGTACTAGGAATGAGACAATCTTATTTTTATCATCCTTTGGAATAGTGTGTTATGCTATATAGTATGAGAACTGTATTTTTCACTCATCATTTTGAAAGTCATACGTAGGGGAGTCAACTGAAAACCATAAAAGTAGAAATAAAAATCCGCATATGGCGCCAGTGAGCTGTAAGTTGGCATGCCTGTTTGCGATAGTATGCCGGATGTCTCATAGGTGGCAGCAGCCGATAGATGCACAAACACCAGCGCAACAACAGTTCCAAAATGGCAGCCCCGCTAGCCACATGCACCAGCGAGGAGCAGCGTTCTGTGATTCGGTTTTTGCGAAGTGAAGGTGTGAAACCGATTGACATTTTTAGGTGAATGAAGGTTCAGTATGGAGATGCATGTTTGTCACAGCCACAAATCTATGAATGGTGCCGGAAATTTGCAAATGGTGTTACGTCCGTAACCGATGCTCCACACCCCGGCCAGGCTCGCCGCATAGTGACTCCAGAGACCATTTCAACCGTTGAAGCCATCGTTTTGGAAAACCGCCATGTGACAATAGACGAAATTGCAGCATGTGTACACATGAGTCATGGATCGGCACATCATATTGTGCATGATGTTCTCCAGTTTCATAAGGTGTCTGCAAGATGGGTGCCCGACAACTGACGCCTGAACTGAAACAGCGACGTGTTGATGCGTGCGAAGACCTTTTGTGGCGTGCTGAATGTGACGGTAATGCCTTCCTGTCACGAATCGTCACTGGTGACGAAACATGGGTGCATTACCATCAGCCTGAAACAAAGCGAGCGAGCAAGGAGTGGCGCCATTCCTCATCATCGAAACCCAAAAAGTTTCGGACTCAGCAGTCTGCAGGGAAGGTTATGCTGACTCTCTTTTGGGACAAAAAGGGCATCATCTTGGAACACTACACGCCACGAGGAACCTCTGTGACGAGTGCTACGCACTCGGACCTCCTAAAAAATCATCTCTGGCCTGCCATCAAAACGAAATGACGTAGATTGCTGTCAGCTGGTGTGCTGCTGCAACACGACAATGCACGGCCCCATACAGCGCGTGCAACGGTTGCGACCATCACAGACCTGAAATGTGAATGCCTCCCACATCTCCCTTACTGGCCAGACCTCGCTGAGCAATTTCCATCTGTTTGGTCCGCTCAAAGAAGCAATGGGCGGCAGGAAGTTCCACTCCAATGAAGAGGTACGCAACGCGGTGCACGAGTGGTTGCGCCATCACCCAAAAGACTTTTTTTCCTGCAGGTATTCAGGCTCTTCCGAAGCACTAGCGAACTTGCATTGAAGGAGGAGGAGACTATGTTGAAAAGTGATTTACTTCTGTTCCCTGTGTGACCAATAAAAAATATTAAAAAAAATAATTATGGTTTTCATTTGACTCCCCCTCGTATTAAATTGTCAGAATGCTTTGCTGTCATATAAGTACAAAAGGGTGTATACTGTAGAGCAGTGGGCTGAAACTCAAATTGCTTGTGGGCCGAATGCATGACCCAAAAACAGCAGATGGAATTTGATAATTTTATTTTAACAGTAAAATTGAAATTTTTTTATCGAAATGAAAGTATTTTATCTAAATTATAAACTTGGAATTATCTAAATTATAAACTTCAGAATTTGTTTGCTTGCTAATTATTAATCAAAATATACATAAATAATAATTAAAAGGCAAGGGAAAAATTCAAATTCATATTTATTTTCTCTCGAAAATCTAAAGTTTAGTACCTGGAAGACATTTTTGTTGGTTACATTTTGTAATTCAAATATATTTCCAGCTAAATATTAATATTTCAGATTGACATTATCTCAAATTATTTTAATATGTTTAACTAATCATTAAATAATTTAATTTAAATTTAAAATAAACAAATTCTGAAAACTTTCAGATATTTCAGGAAATAAATTAAGAAAGTTTTCGAAGAAAACTTCCAAGTAAAATAAAACTTGAGAATAAGTAATGACAACTCAGTTTCTTTTTCTTCAGTACTTAAAATAAATATGCTTATATGCAACTAATTATGAATTTTGTATGTTAATACAAAATTTTATGTCCATACAGTGGGAAAAAATTGCTAAAAATTATCTTTATCACAGATTATAAATGCTCATCAGTCAGTCAAGTTTCCTTTCTTATTAACTTTCAGCTGTGAAAAAAAATCTGTTCACATATAGATGTGTTCCAAAACAAAGATGTTATTTTTAGTATAAAATTCGAATTGAGTGTAGTTATGTTTTGATAATTATGAATAAAAGTTAATGAAATCTGTATCTTCAAATATTTGAATAAGATTTATATCACATTATAAATAGCTCAATTTATAGATTTTATAATCCATTATTCATGTTAGGTTTTAATGGTAATGAAAATAATGTAAAACTCAGGCCTTAAATAATTAAAATCTTAAAATCTTTGCACATTATATTTGCAATAAATGCATAACTGAAATAGATTATGGGCCATATAAAATTGCTTCGAGGCGCTCAGTAAGTACGAATCCAAATTATACTTATATAGTATGTCTTGTTTTTGTGAGGATTGAATTATGATAATATTGGGTGCTTTCGAAATATTGCATTTCACCATATTAATATCCATGTTCTCAATTTATATCTTATGAACTATTTATTTCTCAAATCCCCCCCCCAAAAAAAATTAGGCTGTAGAATAAGCATACATGAAATTATAGTTACTGAATTAATAAGTAATGGGACACAACTATACTTCAGTTTGAAGAATACTGGTAATCTAGGAAATCTAACTAAATGCATTAATTTGCCTTTGAATTTTTAGGCATTCTTTACCTTTGACTTTTTTAATGATTTTTAGATATTGAAGGTATTCTTCAGTCCACCACTTTTTTTGCACATCTGTTATCCAACGTCTTGATAGAAGGGAAGGCTACTTCCAATGCTTCACCAAATATTGAGCAAGGCGATCGTAAGTTCTAATGAATTTCTGCTCTGAATTTTAATATTGCTTTTATATATTTGGTATAATCTGAAATGGTATGTACCTTCATATATACTATATTTCATAAACAAATAATATATAACAACATAATTATTGATGTATTTATTGATTTTTTTTCCCATTGTTTTTCTTCTCTTTCTGATAAAAACTTATATGGAAGTAAAATTCTATAAATGTAAAATTCTAAAATTATTAGTTCTGATTTGTGCTTATATGTACGTTTAAATTGAAATATGTTGAAGTATTACAAATCTATACTTCCATCAGTAAAACAATTAAAAAATTATTTGGGAAAGGAGTTATGTGTAATCCATTTGCATAGGCAATGCATATTGTTTAATGGTAGTATGAAGATTAAAATTAACTCTTTAGTGGTTACAGATACATGTATTTGTTTGACTATACTGTTGCTCTGTATTTCAAGAGTTGATATGATTTAATGTTCTGGATGCTAATACAGGGTAAAAAATACATGTAAAGTAATAGTTAATTCATAGCTTTGTTCATAAAAAACAAATGGTGTTTTATTGAGTCGGGGTTACATCAAGCAAAAGTGTAGATATTATGAGTTTTATCCATAATTTGTGTTAAATCGTGCTGCTTGGTACAGTTACACTGTCGATGGGAGAGTATGTAAGATCCTAATTTTTTATGTAATCTTAGTTGTGTTTTATAGACATCGAAATGTTATTGAAATGGCATATCTGAAATATTTCAGTAATATTCCAGAGGCATAGTATATTGAGCAGGATTTAATATTTTTCTAAGTATGGAGAAATTTTTGCTGGTAAAATGACGTGTGATTTTTCCTAGTCCTTCTAGTTGCTATGTATTTACAATCTTGTAAAATGCAATGTTATTAAATCTTGTGAAAAACAAATTTATTTTCCTTTTGAAATATCAGTCTTTTAAAATATAAATTTATTTTTTCCTTTTCAGAGCTTGCTTTGTCGTGTAAACATTTAGGCCTAGAAGGATTAAATTTGTTCAAGATGTTGCGAAACAAAGGTAGAATTTTTTTTTACTTTTATATAATGTTTGTGATTATTCAAAATATGTGATTATTGATCAATGAGAAATTTTACTGCAATTTCTTTATGCATTTTATGTTACTTTTAAGTGCCTAATTATTTACATCTGATTTATTGAATCAAATAACAAGAATATAACTTAAACTTGTCTTCTTTCTGTACAGAATATTGCTGTGGACTGACTGTTAAACTTTTTATATTGTAGCTTCGAAAAGTGAAGTTCTCAGCATATTCAATAAAATTTCGAGTGAAACTACTAATACAATGAAAATTATGGAAGTTTTGGTGCCTAACATGTCTCAAGATCAAACACAGAAATTGGGTGATATTATTGAAAAAGAACTGAAGCAAATGGATCAAGATATTGAAGAAGCAGCTCAAAAAATACAGGTATAATGTTGTTAATTCACATTTTAAAATTTCTTGATAGTCAACTTAGTCATTAATGAACTTAAAATTCTACATGAAAGAACTTATTATTTTACATGTATTTATTGCATTAAGAAATTAATAAATAATTAAGAAATGCTGATTGTGTCATTTGATATGTTCTACATTTTGTGAGGGTAGTATTTGTATCTGGAATAAAGGCAAAACTTGTCGTGTTCTGTTACGTGTTATTTGTACAGCTTTGTGGACGATGAAGCCTTCTTCTGTGTGGATATCCTTAATTTCTGTAATTTCTATGTCAATGGGGTGTACATTGATAACAGCTTTTACAGGGTGTTGGTGTTTGGGGTTAATAATGTAGTGTTCGACATGTTTGTCTTTCAGATGTTGTGTAAGTGTTCTGTGATCATCAGAGGTGTTAGGTAAAATTTTAAGAAATTTTCCACTGATTTTGCCGAAGAATTTAGCTTTTGTTTGATCTGCTAAAAATTTTAAATATGGGTTAAATTTGTTAATCGTCAGGCACTTAACCATAACTGGTGGTACAGATTTTGATTGTGCTGATTCTGTGAGTGGTCTGAGTTTTGATCTGAAGTGGATGGTTGATTTGTGGTGTTAACTGCAGTCTGGGTGTGGTGAAGAATATTGTTAGTTGAGTCTAGTAGACTAAACGTATATTTGGTAATAATGTCTGGTTGGCTGTTGGTTTTTTGGATTTGTTTGGCATATTTAGTGGGCTTAACAAAGCCATCCTCAGTTTTTGAATTATCATCAGAATTATCTGAAATGTGATGCTGCTTTCGCTTAGCATTAAGGTTTAAGTTAGCGTTTAAGTTATTTGCAAGGCTGTCTAGGAAGTTCCTAGCACACTTTGAGGTATAAGAAGCCATCTTACCCTTCAGGTGCTCCAGCATCATCTTCATATCTCGAATGTTCTTGGCCAGGATAGGAGTGTGCTGATCTGGGTCTGAAATGGCTCGTACAGCATCCATTTGAATCTTAAGCTGTCTGTTTTTTTCGATGCTTGCTTCTAGTTGTTTTATTTCAATTGTAGTATCCAATGCGGCTTTTTCGTAGTCAAAGTCAGGTGTATCCGTGTTTCCATTCTCCATAGAAGAAATGTCCATATTCGTTTCGGCAATATTAACAGGCAGACTCCAATCTGTAGTGGAAGTTTTATCTGGAGGAATAGCAATGCCCGAAGGCAAAAGATCATGGCTGTTCTCCATCTATCAGAGAGAGCAGAAACAGAGCAGCCTTCACCCAAGGAGGCTGAAGGCAGAATGGATCAATAATAATAGTGATGTTTGCCGACAGCGAATGCTTGTGAAAGGTCACTATCCTTTGGCCTTCTGCTTTGTTGTCAAAGTTCAGATCCTGGGAACCCGACTACTGTAGCCTTGTGCCTAATTGATTAGATCAAAACAGCTGTCCTGACATGAAGCATTTTATAGTAAGGTAGGGATGTAGGTAGGGTAGCTTTGTTTACAGGTATGGTAGCTTACAGGTAGGGGTGTTATTTCCCTGCACAGAAAGATGTTTGTGAGTAATTTCATCATATGTGAGGGAGAAGAAGGTATAGTCACAAATTTCATATATCAGTCTGTAAATAAGTATAAAACCAGATTACAATTAATTGTGATATTATTGATTTAAAAGTTGTGTATTCCTACACCTATTGTCATGTCATGAACTGATGTAACAATATATATATATATATATCATTGACTGTTTTTCAGTTTTTGTCTCTTAAAAAAATATGCAAAACCCCCACCAAAAAAGAATTTAAAGGTCATTTGAATATTTTTTATTGTTTTTAGTTCTTACAAAATTAACTAATTTGACAAAATAAATTTTTATTTTAGGATATGTTAACTAATAGCAGAGCAGGGGATTCCGGTATGAAACTGGAAGTGAACAGTAAAATTTTAGATTCATGTACAAGTCTAATGCAGGTAAAATATTTGGTTTTGTAAATAATAAAATATTATATATTTTTTAATGTTTTGATTTTTTTTAACGCGAAAGCAATCATATTCTTCGAAAACAAAGTTTTCAAAAAACATTTCGTATATGTAACTTTCATATTTCATATATCATAACGTAAACATTTCATATATATAACTTTGATTAATGAAAGTTTTTGGCAAATTTTCTTAAATTCTTTAATTTTTATGAATATTAAATTTTTCTACAAGTTTTGAAACTGATGTTCACAAATATAAGATAGTTCTTGGTATTTTTAAATTTATTGTATATTAGATTTTTTCATAATTAGATAACTATAATATTATATTAATATTTTAATTTAATATTAATTTACTTTAATATTACCTGCCATTAAATTTTGTTGCATAATAATCCTATTCCAAAGTCTCGACCAGAATTTTGAACCTTAAATTATTATCCTTCTCTTTTGCTAGACATCTGATGTGGAGAGTTACATAAAGTACTCTCTTATGCCTTTACTAATAAATGATTTCAAAATAAACCCCCCCCTTCCCGTCACACTAGTTTAAAATTGGACTGTTTTAATGAAGAAAGTTTTTGTATGTGCAATATAAAATATCCATTCTATGTCCATTTAAAATGAAAATAGATAGCGAAAGGAAATCTGAACACTGAAATTAATTGCGATTTTGGTTTTAATCTGTGTGTTGTTGTTGTGACTATCTCACTTGTGTGATAGTAATGTCAGAACAAACCCACTGAATTCATCATCGCAAGTAATGCAAGATGCGCCTGTCGTTGGCGAGAACATTGAACATGATACAGGTGACAGTACAATTTTGCTCAATTCTGCCCTGAATTTTGATGGAGAACGTGCCAGAGGGATGGGTCCGAGTGGCTGCTATCCTTTTCCCTACTACCAACCTTTCGAAAGGATTTTTGGCTTGCCACATATTTAGAGTGCCCCTGTGCTGCACAGATGCTATACATTTAGAAATATTCATGCCTTCTCCAGGATTTGAACCCAGGCCCTTTGTTACAGCACTCAGTATCACTAACCACTATTCCAGTTGGGCTGCATTTTAATCTCTTCATTGCAGAACTTCCTGTATGCAATTAGGAGATACTGTTTGTTCAGACGTAAACTAACATGACAGTCTTTTAATTTTATTTTATCTGTTAGCAAAAAGATTCATTTTATCAAGTCATGCATTTTTTTCCCAAATTCTTTAAATAAGAATATCAGAAAATCATTTAAAAATTGTTGGGTGATACACAGATAATCTGTATGTAGATACTTTGTTCATCCATTCATGGATGATAAATATATGAAAAATCTTAATTTATGTTTTCATACTTATAAAAAGTGTGATTGCATATTTTGAAAGTCATATTTATGATCTAGACCAGTGGTATTCAAACTATGGGTTGCGACTGCAAGTAGGGTCGCATTGTCCAAATTGAAAAATTTATAGTAGGGTAGCAATTTGAATAAAAATCATAAGTGATCTAAATTGGTGGTGTATAACTAATTGTCGATTCTCTGATTACAATCATGAAATTGATTTTTAGGAGTAATTTGCATTTTTATAGTCAAATTGTAATAAAATTTGAATACTGCTGATCTAGACTTACTAAAAGTTTTTTAAAGTACACTGATTGCAAATTTGTGTCATATGTTGATAATTAGTAACCAAAATTTAAAAAAAAATAGTCATAAATTAATTAGAAGTAAGTTTAAATCTTTAAGTAATTCAGCTGAGAATCCTCAAAGTGACTGTGATTTGAAAATAAATGACAAATAGAATAAGTTCAGGCCATTCAGATTAACAGAAAGTAGTAACTAAGTGAGAACGAGTGACAGGATGTTTTAAAATCCCTGAAGGAATTTTAAAAGGTAATATTTTAAATGTGTAAAAATTTATTTTGAAACATTCATTGCAGGACCTGAAAATATATTGAATTTGCTTTTACATTTGATATATGAATAAAGAAAATTGAATATACATAGAGAGAGGGAGAGAGAAAGCATTATTTTTGGTGATATATAAGTACATTTTATACAATTGGTTATGACTTATTTAATGTGCATTAAATATTTTATAAATCCTAATCTGCTAAATAATTTGTTTGCAAAATTTAACTTTTTATTGTGTTGGAATTTTTTTATGTACTCATGACAATGCAATGTTTAATTTGCTTCATTTACATTTCTAACATTTATCATTTGATTTTTTTTTTTTTTTTAAGGCTATCAAAGTTCTAGTGCATGCTTCAAAAAATCTGCAAGAGGAAATAGTTTCTCAAGGAAAGGTATTTATTTTTGATTATTAATAACATATTGTTTTTGGTGTTGCTTTTTATTGTATAGGTTAATATAAATATGTGAATCTGATTTAAAAATATTGAATGCTCAAAAATTACTTTTAATATTTACATATTATTTGAGTTCATCATCATACCAGTTAGTGCCATTTTAGTAACTTGCCAATATGCTTGTCTAACTGTGTGTTGTAATCGAATCCGGAATATTCGCCATGTTTTTTTTATGTTCCCAACCCCCTGTTAGCTTTGAGAATTTTTGTCTTCCCCCTCTTTTTTGTTGTTGTTGTTCATGGGTTTTTTTGTATTTGAGTAAGAAAAACTGAAGCTTTGCTTTTCCCAGAATTACAGAATATTGAAGAGCGAGAATAAAATCTTCAAGAAATTTGCATTACTAGAAAAGAGGAAGACCCATAATTCCTGATACCAAAATCAGCAGCTGAGATCTGCTGTATTCATAACACCTCTAAGGTTACTTCATGCCAGTCAAAATTTCTACTAATGAATAATAAGCAAATACCTAAGTTTTTGTGTGTATTAATTCTTTGTAACCAGTATGCAACATCCTAGGAAGAAAAATAGTATTTTAACAGGAAAATTTTGTTTCCCATTATTGATAAAATATAAAATTACCCTGTGAGTGGACTTAAGGCAGAAAACATGTGAAACATTTGGGACAGAATGTTCTTTGAACTGGGTATACTTCTATGAAGAGAAACTAATTAAAAGGGGAAAAAAGAATGCTATACAGTGCAAAGTCCAAAATCCAGACTTCAGAAAACCAGCACTTTATTTTTTTACCAAAGTCTTGGTAATGATTGTATAAAAGTGGAAAAAAAAAAAAAATAGGCAGCTGTGCAGCAAAAGTGATTTTTCTTTTGACTAGCTGAGATTCCTGTATGTCACTATAAAGACAATGCATTGACAGACGGATACTTACATTAAAACTGGGATTCAGCTGCTAAATCTTAGCAGCTCTTTTCAGCTGCCTCAGTTGATCCTATGAAGAGACTTAACTGGATGAAAATTCTGCAGATAGACTTCCAAGAGAATCTGAAAAGGAAAAAGGGAGACACTTTTCCTTCTCATCAAATAACTGCATTACAAGTAGGTGTACACTGTGCAGAAAAAAAAAGGGGGGGCAGATGTCTATCTTCTTGTTCTACTGGGCTGATTGACGAAATTCAACACGTGTTTTTCATGTCTCGAAAGCAGGGCTTAGGATATGTGTTAGATTTATATATAGTGTTGTATATAGGTATTTTGCCAAAAAATCTGACTTTTTCTGAATTGACATGCCAATTTTTTTCCGTAGTTCGATTCTACCACTCAAATTACAGCAAACTGCCAAGTCATGTAAAAATCGCATAAGTAGTTTTTAAAAAATTAGCTCTCAAAATTTTAGCTCCTCAGTGTTAATTGAATTTGATATATACAGTCAAAAGTCGTTAATCCGGACTCGTCGGGACTTCGGCGATTCCGGATTATAGATCATCAGTTTAAATCTGGTAAGATGGCATGCAGAAATTATAAAATTAAAAATATGAAACCGTAATTTATGAAATAAAGAACAATTAACTAAAGGGTATCAAAATTTACAAAAAAAAAAAAAAAAAAAAAAAAAAAAAAAAAAATCTCAATATTTATTTGTTTACTTTATTAAACATATCTTTCAATGTAAGTTGTTTAAGTTGCCTCGTTTTTTATGTGATAATACATTCTCTTTAATTCTTTAAACAGACATAATTTCTTGTTTAGTTACGAGGAACTTGATTTAAATCATATCAAAGATGGAGTACATCGAGATGAAATACTACATTTAATAATAAGGAATTATAAGCCCAAAAAAATAAAAAACATCTGGCCCTGAAGATAAGGATAGTGCTGACAGATCAACTTCCAATTCATTGCGTGGCCCCGCGGTTGGTTAAAAGATAAACAAAGTTTAGATAAACAAACGTTAAAGTTTTAGATAAACAAAGGATATGCCGTTAAATCCATTTTTTGTAGCAATTCCACTTTTTGTTTAATGAACTTCGAAACATACTTTCACTTTGTAGATCATTTACGTATTAATAAATATATATCAGAAATTCTATTTGACATAATCGTCAACGTGACGCATGCGCAGAAAGTTTGAAGCTTTGAGGTCCGGATTATGGGTGTCCGAATTAACGACATTTGACTGTATTTATCAATATCTCTTTTTTTATTATTTTTTTTATTAAACTTACTTGATTTTGTCTTCCAAAATTCAAAATTAAGGTTTATTCCAAATATAATTCACACATTTTTTACGATTTTTTAAAATTTGTATTTTTTAAATATTTTTTATAAATTTTTTGAAAATATTTTTGAATTGTAACCTATAAAATTTTGACCATCATCTTAAAGTAGATGTATAGAAACGCCGCGGCGTTTACGTGTTTAAAACTTAAATTTTCAGCGGGTGCGTCGTTTCTACCCATGTGGCGTTTAGGTGCACTAAAAATAAAATATTTCCTACGATGGTCATTGTACATAGTTTGGATGGCCTTGTCATTGTGCATAGACTGGTGCTATTCCCACAGAAAAAACCACTCAGTTGCTTTTTGCGAACGTTATTTTGTTTACATTCTTTCCTTTGAACGGACCTACATACCTTATTCGCCCTAAACGAGATCTCAGAACAATAACATTCTTCCCCCTTTCAAATCAACATTTTCTCATCAGTTTGAATAGTCTCTCTTCTCTGCTATTCGATGAATCTTCCAGGACCCATCCTCTCCTCTCCCCACCCCTGCCTTTTTTCCGCAATTTTTTTCAAAGGCGGACACGACTCAACCTGCCTCGCAATAACGAACCTGACGTATTTCCCCTTCAGCATGAATGGATTTTTCTTGGGCATTCTGCCAAATACAGATCCCATCAGTTTGGGGTACAAGTACTTGTTTGGATAGTTTTCAAGTAAGAAGAGAGCGGAAAATTTTTGAAAATGTGTCTAAAACGGCACAGAAGCTATACATTTCTTACCTTTAATTTATTTTTGAGTTATGGTTTCATTTTATGCATTTTTCTTAACTGGTATGTCATATATCAGGACTTAGGTTGAGTTTTTGCATCTATACGGCTCACGACGATGTCACGCGCAATTTAATCTATTGCGGCGTTTACGCTGATGCAGCGTTTCTGTGTAATTTTAATTTTTTTCCTGCCATTTTTCTCGAGTGCGGCGTTTGCGCTGATGCGGCCTTTCTTCCGGAAATTACGATAAGAGTTTTTTATTCAAAATTTCTGAAGATATATGTGAATTTATATATTGATGCATTTTGAATTTTTGCATGTATGTTATAAGCGATAATAACACCAAATGTGTTTTAGACACTTTGTTAAAATTATTTGAAAGTAGGAACGATGTAACTTTTTTTCTGCTCATGCGCAGTGTAAAAAGAGAAAGGAAAATAGGTTGCCATATATTAAGAAGTTCGCCAAGTGAATTATTCTTGGCGCAAACTGAAAAAAAAGTGTCAAGATAAATTTTTTAATTTCTCACCAAAGATTACAAAATGTAATATCTAGGCATATTTTGAGTTGTAGAATCAAAACATGGGAAAAAATGATATTTTATATCAGAAAAAGTTCAATTTTGCATCATAATACCTATATTAATAATGCTATATATAAATCTAATATATTATCATAGGCTATAATAATCATATCTTAAGTCGCGCTTTTGAGATTTGAAAAACTCAGTTTGAATTTCGTCAAACAGCTCAGTCGAAAGGAAGATAACAAAAATGCTTTTTTTTTTGGTGGGGGGGGGCGGGGGGGGGGGGGCACAGTGTCTGTGTTTGAGGATGTTGTTTCTAAAGAGAGGGTTGGACCCATGATTTCCAGAAGCAACCGCAAGGAGCCTTGTATTGATGTTTATTAAGCAATAGTGTAGAATTGAAGAAAATATGTGGGTAACAAGGTGGTGAGTCCAACTTTGTAAGTGAAGTCTAATATTCAAATAATTACCCATTTACTTTCAGCACATTGAAGGTTATCAGATGGTGCCACCTATATAATGGCTTTGTATTTTGCTTTCGCTTCCTAAGAAATTTCAATATGATTGACAATAGCCGCAGCTGTACTTTTGGCTCTGGAGTTGTTGCGAAAGTTGCAGAAAATATTTTTCTGACCTAAACAATATGTTAAGTATCAAGATATACTTGTTTGGAATGGGGTATTGGTCATACAGGTTTTCTTTTTTTTTTAGAGTATTGAGGAGTAGAAAAGAATTAGACGCCAAGGAAGTGAATTTCAGTTTTAACATAGCAAAATGTGCTGCTGCTTAAATTTCCAACTTATTATTTATGGTCCAGCTTATTGTTTTTCTGCAGGTTCTAATTATTAGAGCTAGCTCATCAAAATTAAAGTTTGAATTTTTGTTTATGTTGAAAAGAATTTCCAGTTCTGGCTGTAGTGGAATCTGCTAAGTGAAGCTACATTTGCTGATTGTCTTCTGTAGCAGCCTTGATGCAAGCAACTCAGGTTTCAGAAAATGCAATTTCAAAATTAAGCAAAATAATAACCTTATTTTGGCATAGATTTTGAACTCTGTAGAAGGCAAAATTTAGTGAAGAAAGTGACAAAAAGTTTTTTAAGACTGAAAAGGCTCTGACTGACAGTTTAGTAGGAATTCTTGTCACAGGAGTTTCAGGACTTGAACAATGGAACATTATATTTGAACAAGAAATTATGTTTGTTTATAAAATTAAAGAGAAAGTACTAACTTCAAAGATGAAGAAACTGTTAACATTGAAAGAAATGTATATTTAAACAAATAAGTAAATATTGAGTTTTTGTTTAATTTTGATTTTCCTGAAGTCATTAATGCTTCATTATTTCATAAATAACTAATTAATATATTTAATTTTGTAATTTCTACTTGTTATCTTTCTAGATTTAAATTAATGATTTAAGATGCCGTATTGCTGAAGTCTCAGTGAAGTCCGGACTCGGATTTCGTACTGCATAATAAAATTTTTCAGTGGTTTTAAGATGAGATACATGAATAATTTTGAATTTCCAATGCAAACTTTATTCCATTTTTAATTCTGATTGCATGCATATTTTTATGAAATTCCATTGTTTTAATAATAAAGTTTTTTAAATAAAGTTTTTATGAAAGTTTTTATAAAGTTTTAAATAAAATTTAATAAAGTTTTTATGCCTATTTGATTATATTCGTTTTCTAATTTAGTACACTCTTACACAGCTATTAAATCTTTGAAATTTGCCTTTTTAATTAAAGGGTACTGCATCTGTAAAAGAATTTTACAATCGTAATCATAGGTGGACTGAAGGTCTGATATCTGCTGCTAAAATCGTAGGTTTAGGAGCTAGATTTCTAGTGTAAGTTCCTTTGATGCATATCAATGTTTAAATGAGTTATATTATTGTTAATAGCTTCTTAGTATACTGAAAATTTAGAAAATTCTCGCAGATATACAAATTAAAAATTTAATTTATCCTTAAACAGTGTTATCTTATTATAGTATCTATTATTTATGAGCATTCTTGTGTATATTATGCAACTACTTGATAAAAATGTGCTGAGTCTTAATTAAAAAAAAATAAATAACTAAATCATGTTGTTAAAATTTCTCTGGAAAAAATATTTATTTAGTGGATAATTGAATGAAGAACTATAGACTCTGTATTTGTTCTGAAAAATTAACCTATTAACCCCATCCATGATTATTGTGATATGCCAATATTTTACTTTAGTTTAAGGAGAAATATTAAAAAAAATAGATGCATTTAAATGAAGATAATGCTGTCTCTAACTTCTGTATATTATACATGGTCTTGAAATCTGCCTTATCAAGCCTAAGAAATTTTTGTATTTGAAAACTGTCTCTGTGCTTTTATGTGTGTGACATATCGTTCATTTGCTCTTGTTATGTTTGTTTTCATACAGCAATGCTGCAGATAAAGTTGTCAGTAAACAAACTAAATTTGAAGAGTTAGTAGTTGCATCTCAGCAGATAGCTGCTGCTACAGCACAGCTTGTGATTGCATCTCGTGTTAAAGCTGATAGAGGAAGTGAGAAACTAGCTAAAGTATCTCAAGCTTCTAAAAGTGTAACACAAGCAACTGGACAGGTAGTTGCAACTGCTAAAAGTTGTGCTGAAATGGTTGAAGAATCAGGTTTGTATTCAGATATTTATTTTTCTTGATTATATTTAATAAATAAATAAATAAAATTAAAAATATGAAAGCATTCAGATGTTAAGTCACTCAAAAGACTCTATTAAATTTAATATAGTTTAGCAGTAGAGATTATGAATAGAAGTGGTTCAACTAGAATAGCAAAAAAAAAAAAAAAAAAAAAAAAAGTTACTATACTAGAATGAATATTAGACTGACATGGGAATGTTATATATATTCTGTATATTTGAAAAGTGAAAAAGTATATAATGTAATACTATAAAATTATTGAATGTTTTTAATTACTAATATCATGAATTAAATATATTTTTATTTAAATCAATTTGATTAAAAAGTAAAACCATATTCCTAAGAACTGCATCCATTGCTTTTAAATAGCTTGATTTGTATCAGTAATAAGATAGATTAAATATGATGAATGTCTTACATTTTGCTGAATGGCAACAGACTCAAATAACTGGCAGGCATTTGACATGAAGCAATGTAAAATCGTGTTTAAAATTAATATCCCTTTTGACCTTTAAAAAAATAAAAAGTTATCTTTTTTTTTTTTTTTTTTTAAATGGTACTTTCTGTTTAACCACCCATGTTACAATGAAAACAGCCATGCCGACGTATTGACAGCTTTATGAATTTATGAAAAATATTTATTTAACTATCTTTACACAACTGACAAAACCTAATCTGTTTATAAATAGTAATAAAAAGAAACATTTTGGGGGAAAAAATCTGTATTGCTGAAACATTTTTATAGCTAATGTCCTTTCAAAATACAGCCATGGATACTCTTTGGCTGTAGCCTTACATGTGTATGACATATATATGTGTGGCCGCCCAACCAGTGTAGTGGTTAGTGTTGCTGACTGCCATGCCGAAAGGCTTGGATTCGAATCCTGTAGAAGGCATGGATGTTTGTAAATGTATAGTGTCCATGCAGCATGGGGCATTCTAAATATGCGGCGAGCTGGTAGTCCTCTTGAGAGGTTGATGGTAGGGAAAAAGGGGTGGGAGACCCTCGGACCCGTCCTCCCAGGGTGCTCTCCATCAAACTGGGAGCTTAACTGAGCTAAATTGCACTGTCACCTGTAAGGTGTTCAAGACTGTGGCACCAATTCCTTGGGGCAAGAAGTGCAGACATATCTTGCACTTCTTGCCCCAAGGAATTTGTGCTGACTATAGGTCAAACAAGTGAGCCATTAGTCAACAACAATAACATCTATGTGTGAATTGGTTTTGTCCCATATATACTTGAAAATATGTCAAAAAACAGCAATTTTGCTAAATATAGAAACCAGAGATGCTGATAATCCGAAAATAGTATCCATTGGTTAATGATTTGTATTTTTTTGTATTGTGATCAAAAAGTATCAGGAATGACTTCACAAAATACATTGTTTCAAAATACTCCCTTTAAAATAATCTCCTCTGACTGCAATGCACTTATGCTGATATTTTTCCAACCTTCAAAGGTTTTAAAGTTGCCCTTTAGAACTTTCTTTTATTGCATCCTTAGTCTTCTTAGGTAGTGTTCATAAAATAGCAGTAATTTTAGCTGTGAAAGTAAGAAAAAAATGATGTGGTGCTGTGAGCCAGCCATATTTGTTGGAATTTTTGTCCAAAAATTTAATAGTAGCAGCACTAGAAACCTGTGCATTATGATGGTGACGAATCTACAAATTATCTTCTCATAATTTAGGGTTTTTTTTAATAAATTGCTTGATGCAAACCTTACAAAATGCTCATATAATATCCTTTGTTAATAGTTTGGCTAGTTAATGGAATAATGTTTTTTGTATTTTTATATCATCAAATAAAGCATCAATTCTAAGTAAAAATACTGCATTAGTTGTAATAAACTGTGGAGGAAAAAATTACACTAGGTACACATTTGTAACAGAAGTAACTAATTTCAGTATAATAAAGCATATTTCAATATGTTAAAATCAATATTTCTTCTCCCTTCAGCCATTATTCCAAATTTAGTATTGATATTACAAGCACTGAGATCCTAAGAAATGTAAAGTATGCAATAAAAGGGTTTTGTCAGGCATTTAAAAAATGTTCATATTGATTATCAACAATGTAATAATTCTGCTCTGTGAATATTGAATGTAACCAATATAGAATAACAAGGTAATTTTATATTGTGGTAATGGTGATATCTAGTTTTATGGATCTCAGAAAGATTTACTGGTTCAGTCTGATACCTTTTTTTTAATTATTATGTTTTACCAAATGAAATATTTATTTCACAAGTGTGTGAACAGTTAATATTTTCAAATTATGTGCTCTGTAAGATGTGAAGCCATTCCACTTATTAAAATATTATTTATTTTATAACTTTTTTACTTTAACAGTGAATTAAGTAATTTCATGTTCTGTATTTGCTTGAGAAATATTAAACATTTAAATAATTTAAAAATTAATAGTATCAATGCAGAGAATGTATATTATTTGATTTATTTAGATGTTCTAGTGGAAACCGCGAATGATTTAGATTAGGTGTCATCATTCATTTTGTTTAGATGTTATCAAATTGAAGTTCCTTTAAGTTTCTTTGCTTTTCATAATTTTTCTAAAAGATTCCCATCACTGATTAATTTATTTTATAGTAGGCTGTACTTTGAAAGCATATAATTTCTGCCACCTGTTGTGTGTATGTGATCAAATTTAATTTATGATTTGAAATTCTATGCACTAGAATTAATGTACTTTATTTTAATTTGTTTGTAAGTATTATACTTGCACAAATCATGAGGTGTTTATGATTTTGTTATTGAACCAGTTCTTTAGAAGTATTTAATAGTGACATGATTGTAAGAATGATGGTAGCAATTTTGCATTGGCCTCATATGTTTGGGTGTATTTTATGAAATATATCTTGTATAAAGATACCACTTGTAACTGAGCAAAATTAATTGTTCACTAATTGTGTGTCATGTGCTTGCTTGTGAAAAACATACCAAGCATTAACTATGTAATCAAGTATTCCATAGCATTTACATCACTTAACAAAATTGTTTGAAGTCTCCCCCCCCTAATGTAAATACAGTTGCTTCTGTTAGTTGAAATTTCTATATTTAAAACTTGCAATTAATTTTTATTTCAGAGGAAATGGATTTTTCAAAACTTACATTACATCAAGCAAAGCGGTTAGAAGTGGAGTCACAGGTTTATATTTTTTTTAATAATTTTAATTTTAATTACAGAAATTTGCTATTTCATGTATACTGAGTTTAACTAACTTGCTAATTTAAAATTATGTTTTCTTCCTAAGGTACGTGTTCTGGAACTAGAAAGTATGCTTGTTAAAGAAAGAGTTAAACTATCGAGTCTGAGAAAGAAACACTATCAGTTAGCTGGAGCAAGTGAAGGTTGGGAAGAAGAGGTAAATTTAGCAAAAACATTTAAATTTGTTTAAAAAGATTGTTTAAACGCTATTTTATAACTCTACCTTATGTTTTGTTTGCAGACTGTGTCAAAAATTCTGTATATCTAGAAAAGTTGCCCAATAATAAACTCTGAATAATTTGTAACTCTTAGATAGGCATGTAAATGGTAGAAAATGAACTTGAGAAAACAATCTAAAATATGTGGAGAGAAGTCTTCAAAACAAATATATTAGTTGGCCTGTGTGTCATTTTGGTCTTTTCGTGCAGTAGGGTTATCTGAATTAACAAATACACATGCCTCAAAAATCTTCTCCCAACAGTGGCACTATCAAGGACATTTGATGCAAGCTGAAACACATTTTACTGGGAAGCAGTCTCATCACACCAAAATTGCCTCATACAACAGTTAGAGTGATGACACATTCAGATGGTTATGATATTAATGGTTTCAATATTGATATCAAGAGAGCAATGGCTGGTGTAGAATAACACCTTAAGAAGGATTTCATTATAATATGAGCTGGTGTAGAATTACATCTTCTCAAAAGGATTGCATTTACATGGTATTATAATATGATATACATTGCGTTATTTGATTGTATGATGATATGAGCTACATAATTAAACTAACAGCTTTGCTGTTTCCTAATCAGAACCATCTCCCAGATCTTCTGGATGTATAATTTCATGAAACTGTGTTGCAAGAAAGCTGACACAGACTGGGCTACCTTGTGGTGTATTTACCATCCTTAGTATCAGTAGCAATATTTGTCATGTCCTGTCATTGCCAAGAAGTTTGGAATATATCGGATTGGAGTTGAATCATGGTTTTAGCTTACCTCATGTGATCAATAAAGTTATACAGTAAAAAGTCTTGAGGTGTAGAATTTTCAAAACTTTGGCAATTCCAGATATTAGGCCATTAATGTAAAAATCATATAAAATTAAAAATATGAGATGTTTATATTTGAAAGATTACAACATCTGTGAGCTTAAAACCAAAACTTTGCAGAAAGAACTCGATGTTTATTTTATTTTACTAACATTTCTTTCAATATAAGTTTACATAACTTATATTGAAAGCAGTTTTGTTCTTTGTGTTAATCCTTCCTTTTAGAACATAGTTTCATAGACAACATAATTTCTTTTTCGATTACAAAGTTTCATTGTTCAACTCCTTTAATTGCCATATAAAGAATTCTCGCTGAATTGTCAGTTGAAATCTTTTTATTCTGAATGACTCTTTTTTTTTTTTTTTAATCTTTATCTCTTTCTTCACTGTTGGTGGTAATATTTTCTGGATTTAAAACTATAGTATTGATTTGATCGTCCATTGACTATTGGGGCATTGTCATCGTAATGAAAGGTTTCATTTCACATTTCTCTGCATTTTTTCACGTGTTAGGTTAATCAGGAAATTTTGTGTATTGCTTGTGCTATCTGAAAATCTTCAAATTTGTGGCTATCATTATGATCATGTATTACTGCAGACCTATTTCGTGACCTTGCAGTGCTTCACATATCAGATTTTATATTAAAATATTTTAAGAATTCATGGCCAATCTTACTGCTGCATCAGTTTTGAAATAGGGTACATTTCAGTGCACAGAGAATTCCAATATCCATTGTCTGATTGATGAAAGTGCAGTTTCAAAGAAAGAGAAAAAACAGAGAAGTTATTTTTTATGGAATCTTTTATTTTGTTAAGGTAGCAGTAGTGGTAATAGACTAAAAAAAATAATAAGCTGATTTAAATCAAAATGTTGAGAAAGAAAATGCTAGCTTAGTTAAGGTCATTGAAATCTTTCTCCTTTCTTTCCTTCAATGCCATCAAAAAATTCAGTATGTTTAACATTTCACTCCAAACAAGCATCAGTATTCACTTTTTGTATAAAAAAATGCTGCCCATTCCCACAACCATTTAAGGGCTGAAAATAAACATCTGGTTCACTAACTGGGAAATGCTTAAAGATGATGTTTTAACATACTTGCTCATTTCTGAAACCTTTACGTGTAATATTTATCACCTTTAGTGATCTTTCTTAATGCTTTAATGATGCAGTGAAGCATCAGTGATATTCTGCTGCTTATTGTATTGCCATTGCTGTTGCATCTGTTGTGGCCAATTTTCAGCAAAGGTATGCCCATCCACTTAACAGATATCCGTATAGTGTCACATCCATTCCTTTGGATTATCAAACCTCCAGATTTTTGTAACTTTTAAATGACATACTAGGATGCTTAGTGTGTATGAATTTGCTGATAAGTTACACACTATCTCGCTGCAAATTCTGCAGGAAGCATTTGACATTTGTTTGAGTCCACTTCATACTACATAACTTTGTGCATTGTCATCAAAGATATCTATGTTTTCTCAATAAATGGGTAAAGATTGATATTCACTTTAAAAATTTCATCTTTCTCCTCTCATTGCGAAGTTACTTTGTGCAATTTTTTTAGGTGTACAAACTTTTTTTGGGGGGAGGCAGAAGGATAACAAGTGGGTTTATATTTTATAAAATACTTTTCCGTGAATTTATTTGTTACAAGTGTGCATAATGTTTATAATTCTTTAGTTCACAAATAGTTTATATTTATTATTTGAGAGGTTTGATGTCATACAGATATTAATTATGCATGTAGTATATGCAATATGTAGGTCTCTGAGGAAATTAAGTAAAAATTCTGTGTTTATGGTCAGTTTTATAAGAGCAGTAATAATAACGGTAAAATGTTAATGTACAAAATGCATGCATAAAAAGTAACCAGATATATATATATATATTTTTTCATATAAATGAGATAAAAAATTCTAACCATCAAATAAATTTTTCTCCTACAAAATAATTGCCAGAGGAGCCTTTATAGATATTCCAATGTGTCTTTAGGTCATCAAAACATTATTTATAGGCATTGGAACTGACCGTTTGCAAAACACATATAATATTTGATATCATATCCGAGACATTTTCAAATCTCCATCTTTCATGGCCATCTTAAGCTTCAGAAAAAGAAAAAATCAGCGGGCCATAAGTTGAGAGAATACGATGAATAATTGCAATTAAATGCTTAGCAATATGTTATTTTGCAGACAATGCTGTTTGGGGGCCTAGCATTATCATGTAAAAGAAACCATTACCCAGAATCAAAAACAGGGACAAATTCATGTGAATGAGTCCTTTGTAATGAAAAAATGCAATCAGCATCAGCTTAGTCTTTGATTTCAACATTTGCATGTTTTCCACATTTTCAGTTAAAATTAACCTACAGCTTTCTTTGCTTATCCCAAGTATGTGTAAAAGTTGCTGAGTTGTTACACGTCTGTCAGCTTTTTCAAAGAATGAATTTTCTCCTTATTTTCAACGTTTTCTTACCCTCAGATAAAGCAGTGCGCCACTCATACACTTGTGTTCTTAATTGC